AAGATATTTTGGTCTAGATAATTGAGCTGGCTGTCCTTGGAGGTTCAGGAGTTACTATTTTTTTTCTCCTCCTGTTTGACAAAGTTGATGACAGTTACAATTGAAATTTTGTGTTTCAGGCCCTCTCTCTATTTTTCAACCCTATTACCTACATAACTCTGTAATAAAACGGGCCTTGATTTATGTTGGGATTAAGCCTTGCCCTGCTTCCTTTTTTATTCTGCTATTTAAATGTCAGTTTGTTATTCTCACTTATGTTCTGGAATGTGACATATTGAGCATTTGAAGTATTGATAGTACTAGATGAGAAACTTTAGGCAATGGTCCTTGGGGAAAAAAAAGAAATAAAGAAAACAAAACATCTGGGGCATGCTACCTTTAGGCCTGGTTCACACTGTTGTAGCTCTGTAAGCCGTGTTTGCATGGGCATAGCAGCCCATTCATTTGAATGGACTGCTGCTGTGCCTGCATTTCATGGAGGAAAAAGATTCCTGCACCGAGCCGCAGCAGGTAAATCATGTGCTTTCGCACCATGCAAGTGGTTCCTGCACTCACAATGCGCTGTGCTTTTAGATGCATGGGGATGCCTTTAAGAATGAATGGAAGCCCCGCACATTTTTAAAGAGCAGCACATTTTGGCTGTGGGTGGATGCAGGAGCGGGGACAGGTATAATTCCTGCACCCGCAACCACCCGCAATAGTGTGAACCAGGCCTTAAGTGGGCTTTGCCACCCTCTGGATCTTTGCACTAATGAAACTGCTATACCAGAACTCCTATTAGGCCCCTTTAACACTGATGGTCTAGGTCTGCCTGTTAGTTTTTCTAGTGGACCGGATTGAACCATCGACAGACCTCTATGAACCATCGGGTGTCAGCTGATCTGATCCTGTATGTGAAAAACAGACGGATTCCCCATCCGTCTAGTGGATCAGATTGGATAGCAGTTGGATGGAAATGGTAGGCGGTCTCTTTGCACCCCATAGAAGACAGCGGGCAGTGTCTGTGTCTGCTCTGCAGCAGAAAGATTCCCCGCTAAACAGGTGGATCCTCTGACAGGTTCACCCCGTCTGAAAGGGGCCTTTGCAGACAGCACTGCTTTAGTCTCTCGTGCTCATCAGCACTGGTGGTTCTGGCCTTCTCCATAAGAAAAACCATTAGGCTTCATGTGCACTAGCAGCTCCTAGACATGAAGTTTTTTTTTGCCAAAGCTCCTAAACTCAACTCCATAAAAGCCTATGTGTTCATGTACACAAAGTTTTTCAGCAGATTGTAGGAGTTGCCACGTTTAGGTGAGGTTAAACCTCCCTCTCCTGAATACGGAAGAAATCATCATCTGAAGCTTTGTCTGTTATCAAAAACTGCATCTTACATATTTGCATAGACAGGTTGAAAAAAAGACACACACGTCTATCCAAGTTCAACTAATAGCAAAAAAATTAATACATTGAAAACCTCGATGTACACAATCCTATGTTTACATTTGATCCAGAGGAAGGCAAAAGAAAACCTATAAGTCATGATCCAGCCTGCTTCAGCAGGGAAAAAAATAAATTCCTTCCTGATCCTCCAGAAAGCAATTGGATATTCCCTGGATCACAATCTCTGGCGACATCTCCCTGTGTTTGCTATCTATACAGAGATACAGTGGAGAAAATAATTATTTAATTAATTACAGGTCCTTCTATAGCATCTTCAATTTACATAGCGTTTTACATATATATTGTACATTAACATCAGTCCCTAACCCTTAAGGGGTGTACAATCTAAGGTCCCTAACTTACATTCATACATACACATACTAAGGCCAATTTAGACATGATCCGAAAAAACATACCAGCATGTCTTTGGAGTGTGGGAGGAAACCCATGCAAGCACAGGGAGAACATGCAAACTCCAGGAAGGTGGTGCTGTGGTTGGGATTTGAACCAATGACGCTAGTGCTGCCAGGTGGTAGTGCTAACCATTTAGCCACTATGATGCCCGTTTGATTCCCTGCAGATTTTGTAAGTTTGCCCACTTACAAAGAAATGAAGGGTCTATAATTTGTATCATAGGTGTACTGTATTTTAAATGATAGAGACAGAATATCAACCAAAAATCCAGAGAAACACATGATACAAATGTTATAAATTGAGTTGCAGTTCAGTGAGTAAAATAAGTTTTTGATCCCCAACCAAAACATGACTTAGTAATTGGTGGAGAAACCCTTGTTGGCAAGCACAGAGGTGAGACATTTCTTGTAGTTGGTTACCAGGTTTGCACATATCTCAGGAGGGATTTTGGTGCACTCTTCTTTACATTTCTTCTCTAAATCCTAAACTCCATGACCTTAATGTGCTTCTTCTTGAGCCACTCCTTTGTTGTCTTGGCAGTATGTTTTGGGTCATTGTCATGCTGGAAGACCCATCCACGACGACCCATCTTCAGTGTTCTGACTGAGGGAAGAAGGTTCTCATCCAAGATTTTACAATACATGGCCCCGTCCATTGTTCCCTCAATGCGGCAAAGTCGGTCTGTACCTATGTGTTCATGTACACCTAGGCTTTTAGCAGAGTTTAGGAGTTGCCACGTTTAGGTGAGGTTAAACCTCCCTCTCCTGAACGCAGAAGAATCGTCATCTGAGGCTTTGTCTGTTATCCAAAACTGCACCTTATATATTTGCATAGACAGGTTGAAAAAAGACATAAGTCTATCCAAGTTCAACCAATTGAAAAAAAATTAATACATTGAAAACCTCAATGTACAGAATCCGATATCCACATTTGATCCAGAGGAAGGCAAAAGAAAACCTATAAAAAAATAAATTCCTTACTGATCCCCCAGAAAGCAATTGGATACAGTATTTCCTGAATCAACAATCTCTGGTGACACCTCCCTGTGTTTTGCCATCTATATAGAGATACAGTGTAGTAGTTATCTGCAGACCTGGTATAAATGGTACAATCTGCCTTGATAATCAACATGCATGTGGGAATCTGATAATGCGATAACACACCTCACACTATGACACACATAACTCTGTAAGCTGAATAATGATTGCAGACTTCAAATCTTAGAAGTACATCAAATAAATGTGTTTGTAAATTAATTTTAGCTTAGTCCATTTCAGAAGTACTAGGTCAATATAGACGTTACCAGCAATAACTCGATTCATTTACGCAATGAAATTCTCCATCACTTAACTGTATTAGTTTCAGCCATCAACACTGGGCTGCCACTGTGAATAGCCCTTCGTGTCCACACTCATCACATCTGTCAATGGCATGACTGAGTCTCTGCAAGTCTGTTGTATCACTCTCTCATTCAATTATTGTAGATTAGCAGCAGTGACCTTACCAGCAATAAACCTTCTTCTGCTCAGAGAGAATGAAAATAATATTTGTTGAAATGTTTGTAGGTCATAGTGACAATGTCATTTTTATGTCCCAATGTTTCAAGTAGATTTAATAGATTTTAATATCAGAATGGATATTCCATGTTTAGAGCATGAGCGCTGTATGTCATTTAAAGAAAATGAAGTGAAAGTAAATTATACCTTTTCATATTCGAAAATGTATGTAAAAAGTATTTGTTCTGTAGTTCCCAATGTATAAAGCGGTCTGGATCTGTGAAATGTCATTTTGGGCATTTGGCCCAGAATTTTACAAGGGGGTACATTGATGCATGTTTCCTCATCTTATTACATCTATTTGCTTTTAAAAGTTACAAGCCTAATCCAATAAGAAATACATTGGCTGCTCCAAATGTGGAGATGTGGAATCAAAGGCCGAAATTGTTGAACTTTGTAGAAAGCTTCCTTAGATGATAGCATAGATGATAGCATTCATGAGAACAATCATATATACAAGCATGAGTCTTAGCTGGTTTTTCCATAAATAGGAATGTTGGGCTCAGCCAACCATTTATGTTTATGCCTGTCTAAGAAGAGATTGGGTGGGGAGGGGGGGCAATCAGATGTTGCTATCCCATCTTAGCTGAGATTACCTAGATAAGGAGCCTGCTCAATGGCTGTTTGCCACCAAAGGTATTGTCTGGTAGTCTTGCAAGGAACAAAAATGTGGGATCTTTGCTTGATCAGTCCAAAAACAGCTTCATTAGGTGTCTGTCATACCATGGGCATGGGTGCCTTAAAGGTGGCAATGCACACTGAATTCATTGATTGTTCAACAACTGGTTTTTTTTTTTTTAATTCTTTCTTTATTCTGTTAAAGTTTTACTGGTTGGCAAGAAAATAAACTTAAAAGGTGCACAATCCACACCCCAACTGCTATTTAAATTTTAAAACATAAATTGGTTCATACTTAACACATGTATAGACATTGTCCATAAACAGGGAGGTTTGCAACTTACCACCTAATGAGGTGGACCACAAGGTTTCTTCTGACAGTTTTGATCAAAATGCATAGAGAGGGAAAAGGGAAAAGAAAAAAAAAACAAACCAAAATTCCTTTAGCCATCTGCCTTATACATAATGTATTCCAGTTATGCAAACCCCATACTGCCCCACTGTACTACTGTGCCAAGATTCAGGCAAGACTAGTGTATAGCCACAGCTCTTTAGACAGTTGGATGAGCATTTTGTCTGTCACCTGACATGGACATTTACTGTTTAGTGATTTTCCAAATAATTTGTATTTTCTGTTCCCCACAGTGGACAAAGCAATACAGCTTAGTCAAAGTTATGATTGGATAGTGAAGGAGCAGCAGCTTACTGCTTAGGTCACCTCTCTGCTCTCTTATTTAATCTGCCAGCTTGATTTGTTTGATTTAAAAAACTGTGTAATACAGTAAATCCAGAGTGCTCAAAGACAGGTTATATCAGTATTTAAAAGCGCATTAAAAAATGCCTGCGCTGCTTATACCTGCCTACACTTACCTTTGTAAACTTGATGTAGGTTTGCTGGTCCTTTAATAATGATCTTTGTGCTAATGTGTTTACTGATGAAATCCAATACAGTTATTTGCCAGAAATCTAAACTTGATCTCACTTATTTGCAGACTATTGGTCGGTGCACCTCGAGCAAAAGCCTTTAGCACTCAGAAAGCCAATGTATCGGGTGGATTGTTCTTCTGTGATATCACATCCACAGCTCCTTGTGAAAGAGTAATGTTTGATGAATCAGGTACGTTTCGAACCTTCCATAAGCATTTAAATAAACTACTTTCTTCTGAGGAATTTTTCTTTTTTTTCACAAACATTATGAGATTAAAGAGAGTTTGTCATGAAGCAACACTGTGTGATGAGGATCTGTTGAATGTAACCGGTCCCGGAATTATATACCGTATAATAGTTCCAGGTCAAGAGGCAGTAAATAGATATAGCTTCACTGCCCCAGAACATGTATTGCATGAGCCAGGAGTCAAGAAATGACTTCTATTGGAGCCTATTTGCACTGGTGTTTTGTTTTGTAACAGATCCCCTGTAAAGGAATTCTTCAATTGCAAATCCATCCAGAGATCTGCTGATTGTCCAGGAGATAGTTTAATATATTGGAAATAGAATGCTATGCTGTGGGTTGGAAATAATATAAGTGTTGGCTGATGCAGCTTGCTGGCAGATCTTGGGCCTGATGCAAATAATGAGCACTCCTCTATTGTATGGATGCAAGTCCCCTGATATTAATAGTTGGTAGTTGTTTGCATAGATGAGGGAGGGGGGTGTCGAATGCAGGTCCTTGAAAGTTTGGAAGGATGGGGGTTGCCAGTGGGGAGCTGTAAATGTCCACCTGTCTGTGGGGGTATGGAGTATTTGACAGCCTCAGTTATGTGCGAGTATCTACCACTGTACTGTGTGTGTAATGGGTGCAGGTTAGTTCAGGAATTGGAGGCTTGTCTGGTAGGATGGAGTGCAAGTGGTATATGCTGGGCAGTTTGTGGGGAAGACATGGAGGTAGATGGTTGTTGCTGTTACTTCCAGGAGAGGTACTTATTTTAGCACAATTCCTGTGTTCACTGATCAACATTAAAGTGTTACTAAACCCAGTAAAATTAGTCTGTATATGCAGTAGTGCATGCTTGTTATACTCACTGTGGAACCTAAGGGGTTAATTCTCTGCATTGTGTAAAAATACTGTTTGATCCTGACTTCTCTGATCCTCTCCTTCTTCCAGCGTCCCCCTTGATAAGTCATATCATGTGGAGATGCTCTGCACACGCACAATTTGGTGTGGATTGCTAGAGAGGTTGTTTTTTCTTAGGAGAGTGCATGTGATCAGTACAGGGCCAATCAGCACTGTCCAGACAGAGGTCAGGGGTTCTGCATTCTCCTAGAGTAGAAAGAAAAACTCTTCCTACAAGCTTTAACCAGTGCTCTGCTGAACACTGAGAGAAGTCATAAGACTGCTCTAACTGCTGATGAGAAATGGTATTTAGCAGTTTATATTTACTAAAATAATTGCACTTCCATGTTGTGTGTACTGTGGGAGACCAGATATAGTGAATGCAGGGTCCTGAGTTTAGTAACACTTTAATAGTTCACTGTCTAGTTTCACCCATCCCTCCTACACGCTCCCGCAACTCAGGCCTCCTTGTTGGTCCTGTAATGTGATGTGACCAGTGTTGTGATGTGACTTTGACCAGTAGTGAGGTTCAGAAGGTAGAAAAAATATTTAAATATCATTTCACCTACAAATACCTCTGGATCCGCTGACCATTTTAACGTGTGATTTTTCACTGAAGGTAACTTCTGTATACATGTTTTTCATCAAATGCTCAGTTTGAGCATTTAAGTTTCATCTGTAGTCTGAAAGCTTGAAATGCACCCCTGTGTTATCTGCTTCTTCGCAATTTCCCAAAGACTTGTTGGGGAGACTTCCCTATACTTCCTGTCCTGAAGACAAAACAAGAAGTAAATGGAAATGTATCCAGAGTAAGGGGAAATTGGTAGCTGTAACTAACTGGAATAAGTGCCCCTATGGAAATATTTCCCATCACTTTTCTCTGGCAACCAAAACATTTTGGATTTTTTATGTCCTTTAGAGAGATTGACTCTCCCCAGCAAGACACAGCTATAAAAAACCTGAAAAGTAGTTATACCGCTAGCTATATGAACAAAAAAAGATTGAGCTTTAGATATGCTTTACTAATTTCACTTCTCAACTTTTGAATCGATCACAGATCAAGCATAATAGGCTATAAGAAATATTTTTTTTTTTTAACAGTTGACTTGCAAGTGGAGAGTAAAGAAAATCAATGGATGGGCGTCAGTGTACAGAGTCAAGGACCAGGAGGCAAAGTTGTGGTACGTGCTATCAAAATCTTTTATGCTTAATCAAAATATGAAGGTATATCTCGGCTTAGTACATAGCAAGAAGGAAAACCATAGGCACGCCAGAATGTTTTTAGCCTTACCTTTCTCTACTATTTAATTTAATCATTCCTGTTTTTATATTTTCTTGCTGGCTAACATGACATAATAATCTGATGCTTTTACTGCAAAGTCAAAACAGTTGTTTTGTATATGTATAGAACTTATCATGCATAATACAAATCAATTATTTAACAAATGTAGTGTGCTTTGCATGTAGGTACTTAATCATAGAGGATCTGTTCTGTGGAAATGAACACTAGGGCAAAGCAAGCCTGCAACCATCTGCAGTCAAAATGCACTGTTCTTCAAAAAACATAGAGCTGCCATTCATTCTTAATGGAACCCCCAAGCGTCTAAAAATGCAGTGCCTTTGTGGGTGCAGAACCACAGGGAAATCGCATGCTGCACTATGCAATTTCCCAGGCTATTGTGTTTTCAGAATGCTGCAGGAACATTTTCCCTGCATGAACCATGGGCACAGCAGCCCATTCAAATGAATAGGCTGCTTTCCTCCGCAAATGTGGCCCGCAAACCCACAATAATGTGAACCTATTGACTGTAAAGCACAGACTCTCTCTCCTTCTGGTTTTTTTGTCTCACTTAGCACCAATACCACCAGATCATGTGGACTTTCATATAGACTTTTGTATAAAATATTGACATATAATTATCCCACTTTGGTAGGGATTTGGACACTATTATTCTATACTGTCAATTATTGGCTTAAGCGCTACACTGAGTGTTTTTTGTTTATATATTTTGAATATTTACCACTGTCATTCGGAAATACATCACCTGGTTTTATCAACTGAAGGTGTAAATAAAGAGCCATTATTAAGATTGATTTTGCTTCTTTCTATTTCCTTGGATCACTGGCTTGCACTGCCCTGTGGAGCTAATTGGAAAATGGTCTGAGTGAAGCAACTTTGTGTTGCAATATATTGTATATAGATAAAAATGTAACAATTTGGTGTCCCCATTAAATGACAGACATGTGCCCATCGATATGAGAGGAGAAGATTTGTGAATTCTGCCCAGGAATCTCGAGATATCACAGGACGATGCTACATGCTGAGCCAAGACCTCACTATTTCAGATGACATGGATGGAGGAGAATGGAACTTTTGTGATGGCCGTCTCAGGGGTCACGAGAAATTTGGATCCTGCCAGCAGGGTGTTGCTGCAACATTTACAAAGGATTATCATTATGTTGTGTTTGGGGCCCCAGGAACATACAACTGGAAAGGTATGGTGTTTCTGCTTGACACTATGGATTTGATTTACACAAGGGACTACAATTCTGAACTATGATCCTGAGCAAGATGACATATATATATATATATATATATATATATATATATATATATATATATATATATATACAGTTGTGTCCAAAATTATTCAACCCCCACTGAAATTGAGTGTTTTGGCCAGTTTGACATTGCTTTTGATCATTCAGTCATCTTGCTTACATTTACATTAAAGAGGCACTTGTAGGTCAGACAAATATAACATAACAGTTATAATGAAATAACCACAAATGTCTTTTCTGTGCTCACAGCATTATCAGTTTTATTCAACCCCCAAGTGACATTCAATCTTAGTACTTAGTACAGCATCCTTTTACAGTTATAACAGCTTTTAAACGTGAAGCATAGCTTGACACAAGTGTCTTGCAGCGATCTACGGGTATCTTCGCCCATTCTTCATGGGCAAAGGCCTCCAGTTCAGTCACATTCTTAGGCTTGCGCACTGCAACTGCTTTCTTTAAGTCCCACCAGAGGTTCTCAATCGGATTTAAGTCTGGTGACTGCGATGGCCACTCCAAAATGTTCCAGCCTTTCCTCTGCAACCATGCTCTAGTGGACTTGGAGGTATGCTTGGGATCATTGTCCTGTTGAAAGGTCCAACGTCTCCCAAGCCTCAGGTGTGTGACGGACTGCATCACGTTTCCATCCAATATCTCCTGGTACTGAAGAGAATTCATGGTACCTTGCACACGCTGAAGCTTCCCTGTACCTGCAGAAGCAAAAACAGCCCCAAAGCATGATTGACCCTCCACCATGCTTCACAGTAGGCAAGGTGTTCTTTTCATCATAGGCCTTGTTCTTCCTCCTCCAAACATAGCGTTGATCCATGGGCCCAAACAGTTCTAATTTTGTTTCATCAGTCCACAGAACACTATCCCACAACTTTTGTGGTTTGTCCACATGGCTTTTGGCATACTGCAGTCGACTCTTCTTATTCTTTGGAGACAGCAAGGGGGTACGCCTGGGAGTTCTGGCACGGAGGCCTTCATTACGCAGTGTGCGTCTTATTGTCTGGGCTGAAACTTCTGTACCCCACATCTGACAAATCTTTTCTCAGTTCCTCAGCAGTCACACGGGGACTTCTCTCCACTCTACGCTTCAGGTAGCGCACAGCAGTCGAAGTCAGCATCTTCTTTCTGCCACGACCAGGTAGCGTTTCAACAGTGCCCTTTGCCTTGAATTTGCGAATGATGCTTCCTAAGGTGTCTCTTGGTATGTTTAACATCTTTGCAATCTTCTTATAGCCATTGCCCTTCCTGTGAAGAGAAATCACCTCTTCTCTTGTCTTCCTGGACCATTCTCTTGCCTTCACCATGTTTGTAACCACACCAGTAAATGTCTAGAAGGAGCTGAGTATCACAGTCATTTTAAAGCTGCCTAATTGGTGCTTATTATGCTTGATTGCTGCTCGGTGACATCCACAGGTGTTTTCAATACCTGATGGAAAGCACCTGTATGAACCTCTGTTCTTCAGAGTGGTAGTCTTTAAGGGGTTGAATAATTGTGGCAATGAAGAAACCACATAAGAACCATTTACTACTGTATTACATAAACAATTGATGTCATTTTAGTTGCATTTGGGTAGTTACAACGTCCTTGTAGGATTTGATTCTGAATACAATTCCAAATGTACACTATAGTCCCTAAACCCCTTTACAGCATTGGGGGTTGAATAATTTTGGACACAACTGTATATATGGGTGTGTGTTATATATAAATTAAAACAAACAAATAAATAAATACAATATTAAAATTTTTTATATATATATGTTATGAAAAAATGAGTCGTTTTGGTTATAGTTTGTATAGTTACTTTGTAAACTTTTTATATTATTATTATCTTTTTTTAGATAAACTTGTTAGCAAATTACCTGAAAATTACAGTGCATTTTTTGTAAACTGAGAAATGTCCTGTTAATGCAAATTCAAAATGATTACTTTATACTGCGGTGCTATTTTTTTTTTTTGCTTTTTTGTATGATTGCACAATTTTGGATTCTGTGCATCTGTATCCAACCAGCTTACATTATTATACAGAAATATTCTTCAGGTAATGAGATAAGATGTTTTGCAGAAAATCACCAATGTATTTCTTAACATGCTTTAGAAAACAGTAGCTGGAACAGAATGAGTTGTAATGGAGAACAGATATATTTTACTATTACTCTAATAGTAATAAATAACTTCAATTTTGTAGCTGTGCCCAGGTAAGTCCAGGGATCTCACAGGGACAATTCTTAATTGATGTAGCATCATAGAGTATATTCATTTTTTTCAGTTCTGTAAAGCCTATCTGCTTGGAAAATCTGGGAAAATTAAAAAAAAAAAAAATCAGACATTAGGCTCTAGCATTACTTTAAAGGGAAATTATAATTTTCAGTTAATACAATTTTTAATTATTATTATTATTTTTAAGTCATTATTTTATTTAATTTTTGCATTTTTACATGCTTTCTCTTCCATTTTTTTTTTTCATGATTGCATTTTGTATATAGATTAGTGACTTTTAATATCTAGAAATTGGCTTTTTGTTGTACAAATCAGATAACACATTGCCCTTAGAAGCATAACGTTGCTGACCATGTGAACTGCACAGTTTATGAACATTATTCTTAATTTAGTACGTTATACACTAATACAGTTTCATACTGCTATAGTTATTGGCACCATAGACTTGCTCTGTGCAATGGTTTTTGTTCACGGTAACATATAGAAATAAACAAATATATACAACTATAGTTTCTTTTAAAAGCTTTCATAGTAATTTTTTATTTTGATTCATAGCATTCTTCCACTTGCCTCGCCTTCCCACGATCAGCTTTGTTTCTGTAACTTGTTTTATTTATTTGTTTTGGTTTATTTGGTTATTCTCATTTTCCATGATTTACTTTATTTACCATTTCAATCATTCAGGAATTGTTCGGGCAGAACACAGAAATAGCACATTGTTGGACGTTGGGATTTTAGAAGATGGTCCCTATGAAACTGGTGGTGAAACAAAACGCAGTGCTGATTTAGTACCTGTTCCTGCAAACAGTTATTTAGGTAACAGTTTTGAGATCCATTTATGAGATGTTGAGCTGTTGATCCCATTACAAGGGTATGCTGGCACATGTAGTTCTTCTATACACCTTGTGGTGTTCTCATGAATGCCAGTAAGAAAGATCGATTAGCAAATCAACCAAAAGCAGAATCTGCCTTTGCTTCACACATCCAATCAGGTGCAGAGTTTCTAAATGTGTTAGTTCTTTAGCACATGATTGGGTGTTAGAAATGAGTGCAGGCTTGTTTCATCAAGTGTGAAAACTTTAGAAGAGCTTTTTGTTAAAGCTGAACTCCAGGCAAACATCTAAATACACAGAAGCAATGCATATCGGAGTTGTATTACCTGGTACTGAGACTTTAAATGCTTTTGTAGTTTATCAGTTTGGAGCTAACCGTAAATGATGGACCTAGAATTATTGCTGTCGCTCCAACATTCGCAGCTAAATATAACATGTGGCGCAATTGCTATTTAGATATACATGCGTGCCCTATGTATGTGTTTACATTTGTGGGAGAGTGCAGGAGGACTGGGTTGCTTTTAATTTAAAAAAATAAAAATATACATTTTATTTATAATTTTTTTTTTTTTTTTACTTTTTTTACTTTATTTTTTTTATTTAACTTTATAGCTATCACAAACCTCCTACATCATAGCACTGGACAGGTGACAGATTTCTCTTTATGAAGAAATCAGGGGTCTATTAGGCACCCCGCCAGCACTGTAAAGGTAATCAGGTGGCCATACAGACTTTTACATTGAGGGCTGGTTCACACCATAGAAATGCAGTCCAGATGCATGCACATTTTTGGCACATTCTGGTGTGCTTTTGATGCATTTGTGACGCGTTCCAGTGTGTTTTTGATGTGTTCTAGTTAATTTTTTCCCCCTCTCTTTTTCTTCAATTTCAATAGTGACATGTGCATTCCAGTGCATTTTTGATGCATTTTGGTGTGTTCCGGTGCATTTTTTTGATACGTTTTACTGCATTCCAGTACAGTTCTGTGCAGGAAAAATGCAGCCTATTCTACTTTTTTCCTGCAGCTGGAACGCACTGGAACTGCAAGCACTGGTGTGAACTATCACATTGACAACCATATAACCTACTTTTTGTGCGTTTGGATGCTGAGAAAAAAGCTGAGATCCACCTGAACAAAACAGATACAGTACATGCTCATGGCTGCTACTACACAAAAGTCCAGAGAGTTTAAGTAGTTAAATAAATGAATGTAATGATGTATCAGTGAATACAGAGCTGCATTATGTGTATTTTTATATCTGCCTGGAGTTTAGCTTACATAGCTTACATTTTGTCTATCATTTTGTAAATATGATTTTGTTGCAGTCATACAATGGCAGGCCAAGTTACAAGGTAAGGATGAATGTTTTCAGGGTATTGTTTTGTAAACACAGAAGTCTTCTCTGTGCTTTGCTCTTTAACCTTCAACTCACTCTTTTTCTGTCTTCTTGCTGTTATGAAAACATCCAGGTCTCTTGTTCATGACTACAGTGTCCAGCACTGATCCAGATCAGTTTCTGTACAAATCTGAACCCCCACGAGGCAGGGGCGACAACATCTTAGATGTAACAACTAATAGCTACTTAGGTTTGTGGATGGAGTCAAAACAATTTGGTAACATCGTCATTCATGACCTAGCCCATTACTGTCACTGATATCACTAAGTCATAACAGTTAAAAGCCAATCAAAATTTTCATCTACACCAGGGGTCTCCAAACTGCGGCCTATGGGCCAGATGTGGCCCTTTGTTTGCTTTTATCCGGCCCTTGGGGCACTTTATCTTCCACTGATATGAAGCACTATTCCTTCCAATGATACCAACGATGGGGCATTATTCTTCCCACTGACACAAACGAAGGGGCGCAATTCCTCCCACTGACACCAATGATTGAGCGCTATTCCTCCCAATGACCCCAACGACGGGGCACTGTTCCTCCCACTGACACCAGCAATGGGGCATTGTTTCTCCCACGGACACCAGCGATGGGGCACTGTTCCTCCCACTGACACCAGCAATGGGGCACTGTTCCTCCCACTAACACTAGAAATGGGGAACTAATTATCCCACTGACACCAATGATGGGGCACTGTTCCTCCCACTTACCACCAAGCCTAGGGTATGCTTTACTCCCACTGATGCCATGGCATTTTCTCTACTACCACTGGCCACAATCTGGCTCCCCTAAAGTTTGTAGGGCAGTAAAATAGCCCTTTCTTTAAAAAGTTTGGAGACCCCTTATTTACGCAATACATTACATGACCTTCTCAAATATTATTGCCTTTAATAAAAATTTAAGTTTTGGTATGGGAATGTTAAACATACTTGATAGCAGGGTATGGCAGTAGTTCTCAACCACGGAGCTCCTGCCTCTCTCCTGCCTCCAGCCAGCTGAAGATCCCCTAACCTCCCACAGTGCCTTCCAGCTGTCATAGTGCCTCCCGCCCTCCCATAGTGGCCCACAGTGCCCCACAAATTCCCACAGTGACCCTAGACCCCCTGAGAGACCTCAGTGCTCACAGTGCAACTCAACCTCCTACAATGCCATCCAGCCCACTGCTGTGCCCCCTAGCTTGCTTTAAAGCCTTCAGCCCCCACATAGTAACCCCAGTTGACACAGTCCTCACAGGGATCTACAGTCTCCCAGCCTCCTGGAGAGACCCAATCCCCCAGAGTTGCCCCCAGCTCCCTCCAGAAACCTCATCCCCACTAGGGCCACCACGTTTGCTGCAAAGTCCCCAAACATCTTTAAGAACCCCAATCCCCCACAGTAACACCCAGCTCCATCCATAGCCTACCTGCATTTCAATACATAATTTGTATTCCCATACATTTACTGTGTGAAACGTTTTTTAATATTGGGGCATGGAAGGTTTTTGGAGAACTTACTGGGGCCTGGTCTCAATAATTTATAGGATTCCTAGTAGGATATAGAATGCAATATATCATAGGCAAACCCAAGAGCAAGTGAGATGGTTGAATCATCTTCCATTTTGTCATATCATAATACAATTTTCATTTGTTTGATTCCATTTGATTCATGGTCCACAAAACATGAAGTATTACCTAGTTATTTTTGTCATGTATGTTATTCTATCATTATGTTGTTTTTTATTTGCTTCTATGATTCTTCCCAGGGTTTTCATTGGACAGTGGTAAAGGAATAACCTCCAAGAATGAAATGACCTTTGTTTCTGGTGCTCCACGAGCCAATCACAGTGGAGCAGTTGTGCTGCTAAAGAAATATCCTCCCAATGAAAGGATGCTATCTCCAGAGTTCATATTTCAAGGGGAAGGCTTAGCCTCATCCTTTGGTTATGATGTGGCAGTGATAGACCTTAACAGTGACAGGTAAGATGTATTTTGTGGCTATTGTTAAATAGTAAAAGAGTTGTATTCTCAAATTCCTTTGTACTATTATAGTCTAGTCAAAGTTCACCAAGCTGAAGGCCCAGTTAGTGTATACCTTGCTCTTATTTATGATATTTAACCTGGAAACAGCTTTTCTAAGTCTGTTTTCAGTTCTTCAGCCTTATACTTCCCTAACACCCTCACAGACTGCATGAATTTCGGTCAGATCCTACTAAAACAGCCAAAATTGGAGCTATGGAGGACCTTGCAAGCACCACCCAGGTTGACAAAAGTCAATTTTAAAATTGACTGAGTTGGGTAGAAAATTATTGGCTGAACAGGGACTGTATCCTACTAGATGCAGTTGTTTATTGGCAGCGCCATTATATTCAGGCATCCGGGGGGGGGGGGGCTGGCTGCCTGCCTGAGTACAATAGCCAGCAGTGGAGATTCCTCCATCTATGCTGTTAGCGAGCTTGTGTGAACTAAGTAATTTCATCTCATTAATCCCCCAAGCAGAATGAGAAAACAATCATGTATGACTAAAGCAGACCACAGATTATGCAAATTAATCTCTCATACAGCAGGCGAGGAACGCGGGGAGCCTTCTCTGCCGGCAGAACACAATGATCACTGCTGGCAGCTATACCTGCTGGCAGTGATTGCATGAAGAAGATCTGATCGATGGATCAACTTAAGTACAACCAGCCTGCCCATAGATGCATAAAATTTTGGCCGGTTCAGCAGGGATTTGATACATCTATGACTGGCTTAACTTTATTCCTTCTCTCTTATCTTTATCTCCGAAGACTTCTTGGGTTTTTTCAGGCTCTTTAGCCTTTTTTTTTCACCTCTTCTGTACAGATATGTTCTCTCCCCATATCCACATACCCACCTTTTCCGCCACTGTTTCTTATTTTTCCTTCAAGATAAACTGTTTATTGTCCAGAACTCCTTTCGTCTTTTATACCCCTTCTCTTAACTGGTGTTAACTTTGTCTCAATGCCTCATTCAGTAGAATTGTGTCCTCAACTCCCAAACTTCAATGTCCATTTTATCTCTCATCAGCAGCTCAGTGCTTCCTTTTCCTAGCAAGTTCCTGCTTAGTTTATGAAAACTAAAGATAACCTATTCCCATTCAACTTCTAACGCTACAGATAAAATGTACTTCAACAGCAATTATGCAGTTAACATGATTACAAAATAAATTGAGGAAAGCCCCTTATTACAAACAGGGTATATTTGTTTTACATGATTTGGCTGTTCTACCTTGTTATTTCATAACCTTGTTTTCATTTTTGCTTGGATATCATTGTAGTACACTCTAAAAACTAGATAAGATATTCATCTTTAAAAATGAACTTCTTGTTCTTGGCTTGAAGATATGGGATATTTTATCTAGAATGCCAGAGATAAGGGTCCTTCATGTAATGCAAAGTGCATAAAATTCACATAGGGGCTGATCTACCATAGCAGTCCTTTTTATACTACACGTTCATCTATCTGTAATTTATAGAATTAGATCTTCATTTTCCAATTAATTGCCCATTATTTTCAGAGGATTTGCCCTAATCGCCCATTGTTTTTTAAAGGGGATTCACCTTATTCTTTTAATTTTTTAAATAGGATTGAACTATGACATTTAAAGTTGAAGTTTGTCCCAAATAAAATGAATAGCTTCTCTACAGTTGTGCAGGCAGCTGGATCCTGGCGAAATGCTTTGTGCAGGGATTCCCAGTCCTCTTCTTGCTCCTGAACTTCTGCCACTGTGATGGTGACTAGCTGTAAGTCTTCTGTGAAGCTGCAGTGAACAAGCTCCAGACGAGACTCACCCTATACAGAACAAGGAAGAGGATGGGGCATCCCTGCACAGAAGATGCAGGATCCAGCTGCCTGCACAGTTTTTTTGTTTTTTTTTTAGATAAACTTCAGCTTTACCAACTTTTAACTTTTCTTTTAACGTTGGATAAAGTAGAAAAACCCTTGAAACACCTTCAGTTCTTACTACCCTCTATGTCCCCACTAGAAAGAGTTCTGTTCACTGTCTGGTCTGGGTCTGGTGTCACTAGCAGAAGAATTTAGGGTATCTTCTCGATGTGCTACCATAGAAAGCTGATTTCTATGTGGGCGCAGTTGCGGGCTCGCTCCTGAGCTGGGCTGTGTGTGTCCATTGAAACACACAGAGCGGCTCATCCCCATTTCCTCCTCACTGGATTTGATTGACAGCAGCAGGAGCCAATGGCTCCCGCTGCTGCCTCTGTCCTATGAATGCAGGGAGAGAGAGGAGAGAGCCACTAGAGAATGGCACAGCGCTGGAAGTAATTATAAGGGGGTTGAAGGGGTGATACAAACGTGCCTTTACAACCACCTTAATGTAAAACTATATGTAAACCTATGCACTGAAATCTCTTATAGGCTTCAAAGTGTTGACTTAATTTCAAATGCAATTTCAATATTTTTAAATCCATTAAATTGATACCTGGTGACTGCTATAAAGGTCCTTGTTTAGGCACTTCCTGGTTTAGAGTGACAGCGGTTTGTCCTGTTTCCCAGTTTTAATGCTGTGTTGTCAATAAGATCATCTTAATCAGGTGGTCATGATTAAGTGTTAAGGGGAACTCGAAATGCACTGACCCTTTTCTTTCCCCCCCACTATGTTGTTCTTGTTTATTTTGATTAAATAAGTAATAAAGGTGGAGCAAGGAGTGTGGCCATTCCAAGCATTCTTTATGTACCCGTATGTGCAGTTGATGAACTAGGTTGGAACCTTTGTGAAGCAGCAAGTGGTGTGTGAAACTGTGGGAGAGGCACAGTTACCTAGAGCAGTGATTCCTTTAGCCAGTAAGATCTCTTTCTGTTTTCTGGTTAAGGTTGGGCACAAATGGTTCAAATTTCAGCCATTTAGTCCGCAAGACAGAAAGAAAATCACTCGATTTTCTTATGTACGCTAAACAGCATTGATGGAAGGATCTCCAGTAACTGCATATGATAATTTTCCACCCAGTTCAGTTGAGTTTTACAACTTTTGTCAAGTTGGGTGGTGCTTGCAGGGCCACCCATTGCTTGGATTTTGCTCAGTTCAGCAGGAGTCTACCAAAATTCAAGCCCTCAATGGATGGCGCATTATTGCTTACTGGGTCAGCTCCCTGCTCAGTGGACAGAAGTGTGGCTACAGATCCACTTTCCACTGTAGAGGTTTTAGTTGGAGAAGTAAAGGAAGCCCATTGTAGATCCAGGAAGATGAATCAGGTTCTCTGTCTGCCAGCCTGTCTGGCTGTGCAGTGTGAAATGTCAGTGAACCACAAGTCTGGCTGTTCAGAATTACAAATTCAATAGCAGTTACGCTGGTAAACATATATGTATTTCAGTTTGACTCCAGTTTGGAATGCCTTATCATCTGTAATTTTCTAAAGACCCAATAGCCTCCCCCTTCCAAACTTCAAAATGGCTTTGTTTTGTAGCTTCATGAATTTTGGCATGTTGATCAAACCTGCACAAAGGGATTTCCTCTAGTGGAACTCCTGCATTTGTTTTCTATTTATAATGTAGGTAATTAAAATCCAGCCACTGTTACCGAACTACGGGGAGTCTGCTTTCACTAGCAGTAATGTGCCACTCTATGACGTTAACAGCAGATTAGAGAGCCAACAGAATATTATAGAGACCCTCCATGTGCCGCAGATCTGCTAATATTGTAACCTGCTGGCCTGGACCTCACATCCTTCCTGTGAGTCAGACGCTCATTCCACTGCCATGTACGTGAAATGAAAAATGCTACATTAGAGCTTATTTAGCTTGGAGTCTTTTTATTCTCCAGTCTACACAGCTAATATATTAACTACTCCAACCAAATCTTTTTCTTTAAGTGTGAAGGAAGGTTGAAAATAGGAAGTAAACAAAATCTTGTTAAACAGGTCATAAAACCTTTTAACTAACTATTGTAACTGGGTATTGATAAAAATATATTTATAACCACTCCAGCGGTAAAAAATATATTTGCATCAGCAACAACCTCCACTGTATAACCATACATACTTTTTGTGGGTCCAAGATTACCCGCGTGGTTGTGTTATGTGTATAATTTTATCTGAACTGATCCCAAACTCAGCATTCTCTTTACTTTTTTGCTCTTACTCTGGTGCCTCCAAAAAGCTTGTATGCAGAACACTTAGAATAGATGAAAAAGCACAATTGTGCAGACTGAGCTACACTTTGACTTCTGAACATTTATTAGAACCTCATAAGTATGTATGAAACCTTATTTAACAGATATCCCAACTCAGGTTTCGGCATCCTGGCTTCATCCCATGAGGAAACTGAAATGGATTTCAGTTCTTGTGGATTGCATTCTTTGTTGATTGTTGACCGAGTGTGGACTGAACCTTTATACACACTTGCTTCTAGCTACATTTCAGCATACATCTCAATTTTCTGAAATGATAAAGAGAGACACCTTCTAGTATGTAGTATGTAGGCAAATGACACAACCTCGGTTGCTTGCAGACGATGATTGGCTAAACCACATAAGTGCTTTTTCTGACCCTTATTGTTCCTTTATATTAGCCTTCAAATATAACAAATGCAGTAATTTAGAGGTTGGATAAAAAGTGCGGCATAACACTTTGGTTGTATTTTTTGAATTTTGTAGAGGAATGTATACATCAGACCAAAAAGAGGGACAACTAGAGATGGAAAGGCTTGGAAAAAACTGGCAATATTGGGAAAAAAACTTTCTTTTTTTCAAAGCCGTATTTTCGGGAAAAATTGGAATAAAAATGAGTGTGGGATATGTTTTTTTTACAATGATAATATATCTGTGACATGGTATTCAACCTATATAACATGAAGACTTTATTGAAAGATTTCTAAGACTTTATGTAAATTTGATCCCCAAGAAACACATGACTTGGTACTTGGTGGAGAAACCCTTGTTGGCAAGCACAGAGGTAATATGTTTCTTGTAGTTGGTTACCAGGTTTGCACACATCTCAGGAGGGATTTCGGTACACTCTTCTTTACAGATCTTCTCTAAATCCTTAAGGTTTCTTGGCTGTCACTTGGCAACTTGAAGTTTCAGCTCCATCCATAAATTGTCTATAAAATTAAGGTCTGGAGACTGGCTAGGCCACTCCATGACCTTAATGTGCTTCTTCTTGAGCCACTCCTTTGTTGCCTTGGCTTACATTGCTTTGTAAGTGGGCAAACGTACAAAGTCTGCAGGGGATCAAATAATTCTTTTTTGCCACTGTATAAGAAATCTTTGAGTCACAGACTTTCATTTGTTATGATGACCAATGTGTGATTTCCCATAGTTGGCAGGATATTGTTGTTGGGGCCCCTCAATATTTTGATAAGGCTGACAAAGAAATCGGAGGTGCGATCTATGTGTATATGAATGAAGCTGGCAAATGGGAAAATGTTCAGCCAAAACGAATTATTGGAACCAAGGACTCCATGTTTGGCATTTCTGTGAAAAATATTGGAGATGTTAATCAAGATGGCTACCCTGGTAAGAAAATATGGTATAATCTGGTTATATTCAATGAATACATGCAGTACTTGCAGTCAGTTAAAAGGAAAAATATAAAACACTAGAACAGCCACTCATGGTCATCTGGACTGGCTCTTAGGTTGTTGTATTATGAACGTGCATGCTGTCACCAGACACCTTGGGTCCATTTTCCAAGGCTGGAATATTCCTGCTAACCCTGTATTTGTAGTGGTGCTAGTTCCTAAAAAGCTGAATAACATGAAAATGTCTAAAAGAGAAATTGTAACTTTTAGGGCTCATGCACTCTGGACATTGTCTTGAGGCCTTCCTCCTGGCAAAAGCATTTTGGAAAAACAAACCCTTGACACTTGTAAACGTATCTAACGCTTTTACAGGAGTTAGGGTACATTTACAGGTGTCAAGCTTTGAGTCGTTAATTAATTTCATTGGACAGAATAAATAATTTATTCTGACCATTGAAATCAACTAACAATCAAGTGTTAAATGCGCCTAGGTAATGTGCATTTGCATGTGTTTGCACGCATTAACGCGTTTTAATTGTTTTTTCTGCCAAAACTCTGCTGCTCCTGGATGCAATGGCAGTGGATTTTTTTCCTGCCTCTTATCTCTCCTGCCAGTAAATGCTGCTAAAAGCCTACAGTATGTGTGCATGGACACATGGGTTGATTTACTAAAGGTAAATACACTGTGAACTGCAAGTGCAATTGCTTTAGATCCGAGGGAAAGCTCTGAAATGAGGCAAAGCTCTGCTGATTTCTTTCATCTGATCATGTGCAAGCAAAAATGTTGTTTTTTTTTTTTTTCCTTGAATATTCCCCTCAGATCTAGAGCAACTGCACTTTCAGGGCACTTGGAGTTCCCTTGCAGTGCACAGCCTATTTGTCTTTAGTAAATCAACTCCCCTGGCTATCATGCACAGAAGTTTAGAGGCAGGAAAAAAAAACGCCTGATGCTCCTAGAAGCAGCTGCAAAAATGCCCTGTGTGCATGAGACCTTAGTAAAAGAGTATCACGCAGGAGTGTGAGCTGTGAGCTTCATCTACTGCCTGGAAATGAAAAATATAACACATTCATATCCAATATTTCACCTACTTGACCTGAAGAAATATATTGATTTTTGTTATTCCTGACCAAAATAAAAATATGCAAGTTCACTATACAGTTTCATCAAATGAAGACATTTTGCTGTGTTATAGAATTTTTTGCATCAGGTGACAAATTTCAGCATTATGAAACTTTTCTGTACAAGATCAGGTTCAAATATTTTAAAAACATTTTTTTAGTATACTAAAACACCATTATAATTCCTCTTAGATATTGCTGTCGGAGCGCCGTATGATGAAGGTTTTGGAAAAGTCTATATTTATCATGGTTCCAAAACTGGAATAATAGAGAAACCTGCACAGGTAATTTTTGTCAATTTTCATTTGGAATGTTTTTTTTTTTTTTTTACTTTATTTGTAACTAACCTTATCTAACTGTAAAGTGGTTGTAAAGCCTCAAGGTTTTTTGCAATCTATGCATGAAGGTAAAAAACATTTTGTGTGCAGCAGCCCCCCCCTGCCCCTCCTAATACTTACCTGAGCCCCATCTTGATCCAACAATGTGCATGAGAGCCTCTCCCTTCTCATTGTCTGAGACAGCAGTGGGAGTCCTCCCACTGCTGTCATTCACAGCCAGTGAGCCAATTAGGACAGAGAGGGGCTCTGCATGTGAATGGACATGCAGAGCAGCAGCTCGGGAGCAAGCCTGCTTGGGTGCCCCCATAGCAAGTTGCCTTCTGTAGAGGCAATTGGCAGGAGAGAGAGGCCAGGAGCGGGGATCCCAGAAGAGGAAGATCAGGGCTGCTCTGTGAAAAAACCATTGCACAGAGCAGGTAAGTATGACATGTTTGTTGTTTAAAAAAAAATATTGCCTTGAATACCACTTTAATCCTAGCCAAGTAAGCTAGTTTCCATAGGCTCCAGCTGAAATATACACTATTACCTCATGATTTGTACAAAAAAAGTGGGGTAATTCCCAGAAGTCATGCAGCCAACGCATCTGAAAAAGCAGACATCTAACTTTTTAAAGGAATTGCCCTTGTTGCCAGTTGAAGTACCGACTCTGAACATGCAGGGCAAACCAGCAGGTTCACTTAAAGGGAAAGTTTGTCTTTAAAGTAGAACAAACTGCAGTACTTTATTTTATGTGTATCTGTACTCACGTTTCCCCTGAAAGTCCCACTAATGCAGCTTCTGGTGACAGTGCGGCAATGATACTGCACTGCTCCTAAACACAGAGCAGCATTGTCACTCTCTCGTGCAGCTAACAATATATGAAAAATATAGGAATGGGGAGAGTTGAGGAGTTCAGTGAGACACAGACAACCTTTAACATGCAAATTAAGTTTTATCCCTTTCCCCCATTTACCATACGAGAGGAAAGAGATATACAAAGACCGTACGGATTCCTATCCAACATATTGATATTTCCAGGTTCATGTTGTAGAAAGGTGTATGTAACATGTATATTTACCTATGAATACATTCTCAACTCCACAGATGTATCTTCTGGTGAAGTCAAAGCCTTTAATCCTATGTAACACCTATTACAGTCTAATGCTTTGTGTGTTTTTTTCTTTTTTTTGAAGATTATTGATGGGAAGAGCACAAAAACTCCGACGTTTGGTTACTCTATTGCTGGAAACATGGATCTAGACAAAAATTTATACCCAGACATAGCAATTGGATCTTTATCAGATTCTATAAATGTTTTCAGGTAAGATAATAATATGGTTTCCACTAATCTATACTGTTATGAAAGCCCCATAACTTTATGCCTAATTATTTTCTTTTTTAACTAAAGGGCACGCCCGGTTGTCAGCATCAAGAAGACAATTAAAGTGACACCAGAGAAAATTGACTTCAATAAGAAAGATGTGAACTGTGCTGCACCAAGCAAAATCTGGTAGGGAGCACCTCAGAATCACAAATGAGAACAACAACATATACAGTACACAGGACTCATTCCCAGCCAGTCATATTTTCCCTTTCTTCCATTTTGCATGGGGTGAATGATGGGATGAAACTGAAAGGTTGCCAGGCAAAACAAGAACACTTTCTCCTGTGACAATTCAAAGAACCTAATTGCTAAAATCTCATTTTATTATTATACAGTATTTATATAGTGCCAACGGTTTGCTCAGTAATGTACATTATAATGGGAGACAGTACACAAGACAGTACAGTAACAATACAATACAATACACGAGGGGTGCGAGGGCCCTGCTCCTTGGAGCTTACAATCTAGGAGGGAGGGGGATAGTGGTACAGGAGGAAATAGCTGTGGGGGATGGAGTGGTGGGAAGAGCGGAGGAGATCAGCAAATTAGGTGAGGGCAGGGTAGGCTTCTCTGAAGAGATGGGTTTTCAGGGTGCGCCTGAAGGTGAGGAGGGAAGGTGACAGTCTGATGGATTGGAGTAGTGAGTTCCAGAGGATGAGGGAAGCCGTGGAGAAGTCCTGGAGATGGGCATGGGAGGAGGAACCAGGGAACTCGAGAGAAGGAGGTCTTGTAAGGAGCGGAGAGTGCGTTTTGGGTGGTAGATGGATATCAGGTCGGTGATGTAGTTAGGGGCAGTGTTATGAACAGCTTTAACGTTAATGTTAATATTTTGAATTTTATGCGTTGGGCAATCGGAAGCCAGTGGAGGCATTGGCAGAAGGGGGGTGGCAATTACGGAGCGGCTGGTAAGGTGGATGAGTCTGGCCGCAGAATTCAGGATAGACTGAAGCGGGGATAGCCTGTGTTGGGGTAAGCCGGTGAGGAGGGAGTTGCAATAGTCAAGTCAGGAGATGATAAGGGAGTGATTGAGTTGCTTAGTAGTTTCTGGAGTTAAGAACGTGCGTATTTTGAAGATGTTGTGGAGGTGGAGTCTGCATGAATTTGTCAGCAATTGGATCTGGGGCTGGAAAGACAGATTGGAGTCTAGAATGACACCTAGTACCCTGGCTTGCGTGGTGGGGCTGATGGTGGCGTTGTTGGTCGTGATGGAGAGGTCGGGGGGGGGGGCGCGGGCTGGGGGGAAAACTAGGAGCTCGGTTTTGGCAAGGTTTAATTTGAGGAAGTGGAGTGACATCCAGTCTGATATGTCGTTCAGATGGCTAGTGATTTGGGCGGAGACTGAGACTGAGGAGTGAGGCGAGAGGGTAGAGAGATAGATTTGAGTGTCATCGGCATAGAGATGGTAGTTGAAGCCATGGGAGTGTATCATTTGGCCAAGGGAGGAGGTGTAGATGGAGAAGAGAAGGGGCCCGAGGACAGAGCCTTGGGGGACCCCAACAGAGAGGGGGAGTGAGGGAGAGATAACAGCGTTATAGGTAACACTGAAGGAGCGTTGAGATAGATAGGAAGAGAGCCAGGAGAGAGCGGAGTCTCTGAGGCCAAAATGTAAGCTTGAATATGATAATTTAATTTCGAAAGGTCCTTGTTCAGGATCTTCCTGTTATAGAGTGGCGGGGCTTTGCCCGGTTCCCCAACCATGCCTGTAGCCTTGTAAAACAGGTTTTGGATAGTCTACTAGCTGTTTTAACACAAATTGCACAGGCAAGGTCCATTGTTGTCATCGTCAGCCAACCAATCCTTAAACATCCAATACAGTCACTGATGGAGTAAATGTAGACTGAAAGCAACTGCATAGAGGCTGCAGGAGATCTACAGCACCGACATGCAAACAAACAATGAAAAAAAAAGGGAGAAACAAGTATTTTAAAAGAGAAAATTGTTTATGATATGCAATGTTTTAGGAAACTAAGAGGTCTATTATTCAATATTGTTTTCACCCAAGATCCATACAACATTTACTCAAGGCTTACACATTTTTCTAATGTGAAAAAAAGGGTAAATCTTCGGCGAAAAAAATAAAAAAATTGAGTGCTGTGGTTCTGTTAGAATTTGCATATACACTATATTGCCAAAAGTATTGGGACATCCGTCCAAATCATTGGATTCAGGTGTTTCAATCACCTCCATGGTCACAGGTGTATAAAATCAAGCACATAGGCATGCAGACTGCTTCTACAAACATTTGTGAAAGAATGGGTCGCTCTCAGGAGCTCAGTGACTTCAGGCGTGCTACTGTGATAGTTTGCCACCTGTGCAATAAGTCCATCCGTGACATTTCCTTGCTACTAAATATTCCACGGTCAAGTGTTAGTGGTATTATACTAATGTAGAAGCAACTGGGAACAACAACTCAGCCACAAAGTGGTAAGTCATGTAAAATAACAGAGCGGGTCAGTACATGCTGAAGCACACAGTGCGCAGAAGTCACCCACTATCTGCAGAGTCAATAGCTAAAGACCTGCAAACTTCTTGTGGCCTTCAGATTAGCACAACAGCAGTGCATAGAAAGCTTCATGGAATGGGTTTCCATGGCCAAGCAGCTGCATCCAAGCCTTACATCACCAAGTGCAATGCAAAGCGTCATATGCAGTGGTGTAAAGCACGCTGCCACTGGACTCTAGAGCAGTGGAGACATGTTCTCTGGAGTGGCAAATCGTGCTCCTCTGTCTGGCAAGCCGATGGATGTTTCTGGGTTTGGCGGTCTCCAGGAGAACGGTACTTGCCTGACTGCATTGTTCCAAGTGTAAAGTTTGGTGGAGGGGGGATTATGGTGTGGTGTTGATTTTCAGGGGTTGGGCTTGATCCCTTGGTTCTAGTGAAGGGAACTCTTAAGGCATCAGCATACCAAGACATTTTGGACAATTTCATGCTCCCAACTTTGTGGGAACATTTAGGGAAAGGCCCCTTCCTGTTCCAACATGACTGCAAACCAATGCACAAAGCAAGGTCCATAAAGACATGGATGAGCAAGTTTGGGGTGGAGGAACTTGACTGGCCTGCAGAGTCCTGACCTCAACCTGATAGAACACCTTTGGGATGAATTAGAGCAGAGACTGTGAGCCAGACCTTCTTGGCCAACATCAGTGTCTGGCAATCCAATGGACGTGTCTGGGTTTGGCTGTTGCCAGGAGAATGATACTTGCCTGACTGCATTGTGCCAAGTGAAAAGTTCGGTGGAGGGGGGATTATGGTGTGGGGTTGTTTTTTGGGGGTTGTCCTCACAAATGCGCTTCTGGAAGAATGGTCAAACATTCCCATAGACACCCTGCTAAACCTTGTGGACAGCCTTCCCAGAGGAGCTGAAGCTGTTATAGCTGCAAAGGGTGGGCCAACTCGATATTGAACCCTACGGACTAAGACTGGGATGCCATTAAATTTCATGTGCGTTTAAAGGCAGACGACCCAATACATTTGGCAATATACTGTATATGAGAGCTGAGATTTGTAGTTATATCCAGTTCTATCGCTCTACAGTGCAGTCTTGTCTAGCATGGGAGGGAACTTTCTCTGCTGAAGTTTCACTTTCACTTTCACACCCCACCCTCACCCTGTGACTGGACAGTAAAGGAGAAACAGCAAACTGATTAGATTATCTCTCTGTCATTCTTTTAACACTTCCTATCTGTATACATCTTGTACTGCAGCACACACCTTGTGGTGCCTTCCTTTCCCTCAAGCTCTGCTGTACAGTGGACTGCAAGAACCTGAGGTCCAGATACTTACATTGCTTGCATTAAAATAACAAACAAACAAAAAAACGTAATGATGTATCAAAGAATACAAAGCTGTATTAATTTGTGTATTTTATATCAGCCTGGAGTTCAGCTTCAGCTAAATACAGCCAAATATGCAAACCTTTCTAATTAATTTTTTTTTTTTTTTTATTGTTCAGTTTGACAGTTGACGTCTGTTTTGTCATATACTGCTATCCCCCGTAATTACAATCCAGTTCTAAGTAAGTGCATCTCATTTATGTAATTAGTTTTACAGCTATAGGTAGTATAATTTGTCAGTATCACTGAAACAACAAGGATGGGGAACTTACTAAGGATGGAGCAGTTAGAATTTTCAGCAGTGCTGCATGGCGACTATTCAGCTTCTATCTTTCATTTTCAAAGTTTAACTGAAGAAGCTGAAGTTAGAAGCTGATTGATTATTATGCACAGCTGCTCCAGATTCAGTCTGCTTCAGCTTTAATAAATTCCTCCTTTCTTTCTTTCCATGTCTTTTGGGGTTTTCAGTGGGACTGTGTGGATGTTATGTATATATTTTCATTTTTTAAATATTCTTTCGCTCAGTAGCTGAATCTGAAAGTCACAAACACAATAATCTAAGGAGTGACCACCTCATTCCTTTGGACTCATCCATTGGAGATTTCACTGAGAAACAGTATACTGCCTCTATAGACAACCCATGATGCTTTGGAAATCCTTTTATCATGTATTAAATGTTAAATGTATATATAGGTAGAAGTATGGCCTCCATTTAAAAAAAATGTGCTGCAGAAATTAAAGTGATACTAAATTCTTGTTTTTTTTTTTTTTGTTTTAAATAACAAACATGTCATGCCTACCTGTTCTGTTCTCCCTCCAGTTGGGTGCCCCCACTACAAAGCAACTCCATTCCTGCCCCTCCCTCTCCTGATTGGCTCACTGGCTGTGATTGACAGCAGCTGGAGCTAATTTTATATATTTTATTTATTTCAGGTACTTATATAGCGCTGTCAATTTACGCAGCGCTTTACACATACAGTCATGGCCGAAATTGTTGGCACCCTTGATATTTTTCCTGAAAATCAAGTATTTCACACAAAAAAGGTATTGCATTAACACATGTTTTGCTATACACATGTTTATTCCCTTTGTATGTATTGGAACAAATATAAAACAGAGGCAGAAAAGCAAATATGACATAATGTCACACAAAACCCCAAAAATGGGCTGGACAAAAGTATTGGCACCCTTAACTTAATATTTGGTTGCACACCCTTTGGAAAACATAACTGAAATCAGTCGCTTCCTATAACCATCAATAAGCTTCTGACACCTCTCACCCGGAATTTTGGACCACTCTTCCTTTGCAAACAGCTCCAGGTCTCTCTTATTGGAAGGACACCTTTTCCCAACAGCAATTTTAAGATCTCTCCACAGGTGTTCAATGGGATTTAGATCTGGGCTCATTGCTGGCCACTTCAGAACTCTCCAGCGCTTCTTTGCCATCCATTTCTGAGTGCTTTTTGACGTATGTTTGGGGTCATTGTCCTGCTGGAAGACCCAGGATCTTGGACGCAAACCCAGCTTTCTGACACTGGGCCCTACAGTGCGACCCAAAATCCTTTGGTAATCCTCAGATTTCATGATGCCTTGCACACAGTCAAGGCACCCAGTGCCAGAGGCAGCAAAACAACCCCAAAACATCATTGAACCTCCACCATATTTTACCGTAGGTACTGTGTTTTGTTCTTTGTAGGCCTCATTCCGTTTTCGGTAAACAGTAGAATGATGTGCTTTACCGAAAAGCTCTATCTTGGTCTCATCTGTTTTTTCCCAGAAGGCTTTTGGCTTACTCAAGTACATTTTGGCAAACTGTAGTCTTGCTTTTTTATGTCTCTGTGTCAGCAGTGGGGTCCTCCTGGGTCTCCTGCCATAGCGTTTCATTTCATTTAAATGTCGACGGATAGTTCGCGCTGACACTGATGCTCCCTGAGCCTGCAGGACAGCTTGAATGTCTTTGGAACATGTTTGGGGCTGCTTATCCACCATCCGGACTATTCTGCGTTGCAATCTTTCATCAATTTTCCTCATCCGTCCACGACCAGGGAGATTAGCTACAGTGCCATGGGTTGCAAACTTCTTGATAATGTTGCGCACTGTGGACAAAGGCAAATCTAGTTCTCTGGAGATGGACTTGTAACCTTGAGATTGTTGATATTTTGCCACAATTTTGGTTCTCAGGTCCTCAGACAGTTCTCGTCTCCTCTTTCTGTTGTCCATGCTTAGTGTGGCACAGACAGACACACAATGCAAAGGTTAAGTGAACGTCTCTCCTTTTTATCTGCTTTCAGGTGTGATTTCTATATTGCCCACACCTGTTACTTGCCCAGGTGAGTTTACAGGAGCATCACATGCTTGTAACATTCTTATTTATCCGCAGTTGTGAAAGGGTGCCAATACTTTTGTCCAGCCCATTTTTGGAGGTTTGTGTGACATTATGTCGAATTTGCTTTCTTTCCTCCCTTTTTTGTTTTGTCCCAATACACACAAAGGGAATAAACATGTGTATAGCAAAAACATGTGTTAATGCAATACGTTTCGTGAGAAATACATGATTTCCTGGAGAAATATCAAGGGTGCCAACAATTTCGGCCATGACTGTATATATTGTACATTCACATTTCCCTAACCCTCAAGGGGTGTACAATCTAAGGTCCCTAACTCACATTCATACATACACATATTAGGGCCAATTTAGACAGGATCCAATTAACCTACCAGCATGTCTTTGGAGTGTGGGAGGAAACCCAGAGGAAACCCACACAAGCACAGGGAGAACATGCAAACTCCAGGCAGGTGGTGCCGTGGCAGGGATTCGAACCAACGACTCTAGTGCTGCCAGGCGGAAGTGCTAACCATTTAGCCATTGTGCTGCCCCCCAGCTAATGGCTGTGTCCCCCACATGGCTTCATGCAAACTGCAAACGGGACTTCTTATAGCTTTCTTTCAACAATGTCTTTCTTCTTGCCACTCTTTCATAAAGGCCAGATTTGTGGAGTGCACGACTAATAGTTGTCCTGTAGACAGATTCTCCCATGGAGATGTAGATCTCTGCAGCTACTCCAGATTAATGATGATGATTAATGCTCTCCTTGCCCTATCAGTTTAGATGGATGGACATGTCTTGGTAGGTTTGCAGTTGTGCCATACTCTTTCCATTTTTGGACAATGGATTGAACAGTGCTCTGTGAGATGTTCAAAGGTTGGGATACTTTTTTATAACCTAACACTGCTTTAAAACCTATCCACAACTTTATCCATGACCTATCTGGTGTGTTTTTTTGGCCTTCAGGATGCTGTTTGTTGACTAATGTACTCTAACAAACCTCTGAGGGCTTCACAAAACAGCTGTATTTATACTGAGATTAAATTACACACAGGTGGACTTATTTGCTAATTAGGTGACTTCTGAAGGCAATTGGTGCCACTAGATTTTAGTTAGCGGAATCAGAGTAAAGGGGGCTGAATAAAAATGCACGCCACACTTTTCAGATATTTATTTGTAAAAAATTTAGAAAACCATTTATCATTTTCCTTTCTACTTCACAATTATGTGCCACTTTGTGTTGGTCTATCACATAAAATCCCAATAAAATACATTTACATTTTTGGTTGTAACATGACAAAATGTGGAAAATCTCAAAGGGTATAAATACTTTTGCAAGGCACTGTACTTGCCAGATCCTACTCTTCCAGGCTCCCACCAGACTATAACACCAGTAGCCTCTCCCCTATGCTCCAGTGGTCATGAGTCCTCTAATGTCATCAAATCTAATGCAGAGCCTATAGTCCTGCATTGGACATGAGGATACCAAGGGACAGTAAACTGCCGGAGTATAGGGGAGTGTAGGAGAGCTCTGAGTGCCAAGGCAAAGGTGGATCAGGTAAGTGAAACTGCAGTTTGTGGTACCCTAGACACAAACAAGCATTTAACATATACGGTACAGGGGCAGCCCCACTAAGGGAGAATTTTTCCTTTCCCTGGACAAGGACTGTAAGTCTTGTTTTCATATTATAAGAAATGACAACTATGTATTAGTCTTTATGTAAACCTTCTCTTTGACTTCTTACAGCACTCGGCTACACACTAGAAGTGGAAAGTGAAAGAACCAAATTAAGTTTGTCATCCAGGATTTCCAATTTCCCAGAGCCAGGAACAGTAACCCTACGACAACAAGGTCAGGACAGATGTTTCCAGAAAGTTCTATATGTACAGGTAAGGGTAGCAGTAGACAGACACTTGTTACAACACATATTAAAATGGAAAGGAATAGGGTGTAAAAAGGGGGAAGTGATCATGTGATCGGCCTGTCCTTCCTACTCCCCAGGTGTAAAAACCCTGGTAAAGGGATCCCCTGGCTGGGAGAGAATGAGTTAAATACTCAGTCATGTGCAAGACAAACTTAAAAAAAGTTGATTTTTGCTAGCACATGATTGGATGATTGAAGTGACTATTACTAATTGTAGTGAACATTCACCTTTCTATGTGAACAGTCCTTTAGTAAACAATCCCTCAGAGTACAGTAAACTTACAATTATTTTGCTCTTTTAGGAAAATATTAAAGACAAACTTCGACAGATTCCCGTGTCTCTTTCTGTGGATATTAAAAATGTCCGTCGGAAAAAGAGACAAAGTGGCTCACTGCCAGAACTTATCCCAATCCAGGATGCCAATGAGCCCAAAACAGTCACAGCAGAGGTAATTCATTTATTTTTTTACTACTTTTTTGAATGACTTTTCTCATGTCTTAAGTTTAGAAGCATTTGTAGATTTCATTATATGATTCTGCATGGCATTAGCACAATACTGCAGCCTACTACTTTGGGAAAACATTTTTTGACACAGATCCTGCACTACACACATGCCTTTAGGCGCAATGCACACTGAGCAGGAAAAACGTTGCTTTTACAGGCGTTTTGCGTTTTATTGTTTGGCCTGTAAATGTACCTGAATGTTTGCCTTTGTGTCCATGCATACATAGACGTTTACAGACATTTTAAAAGAGGAGCGTTTACAAGCTGAAAAGGAAAACATCCCCAGCGTGTTCAAAAGAGAGCATTTGGGAAAAATAAAATGAGTGCATAAGTGCCTGTTAACGCTAGCCATGTTTAGGAACATTTGTGCAGAAATTCATTCTGATCGCCAAAATAAATTAATATTCTGGCCAATAGAATTTGTAAATGTCGGTGCAAAACATGGCTTTTACTGTGTTTTTAAGCAGCTCTTCTCCTGCCAGGAGAAAAAGACGTTTAGAGGAGCTGAGCAAATGCTCAATGTGCATGCGTTCTAAGTCTTACTGAATGATTTACTTGAAATAACTACATTGATGTTGAGACCATATGCCATGGATATGTTTAGCCAACCAAATTCTATATTGCTTCTAGGCTCAATTTTTGAAAGAAGGATGCGGTGACGATAATATCTGCAACAGCAACATGAAGATCTCTTACAACTTCTGCGATAAAGAAGGAGAGAACACCTTCACCGCACTGAAGAAGTATATAACTAAAAATATATTTTAAACTGGTAGCTGAACTTCAGACAGATATAAATACTTTGAATATTTAACACAGCTGGTAATAAGACCATAATAAGTACCTGAATGTTGAAGTCAGCTGCTCTCAACTATTGCAAAGCAATGCTCAGACTGGGAGAGGTAGGAACAACACTAGTCAGGCTCCTTTACATACACGGTCTGATAGGAGAAAGCAAAGTGAGCAGAAGGATTTATCAATGTGCTGCTGCTCCTAAATGACCTAATCAGCAGGCTGTAGGCAGGGAGGTGACACCACCATATTCTTTAGCTTTAACAAGTAACTTGGACTGCTTTCACATTGCCTTGGTGTGATTTTCCCACTCTGCAGCTGCAGCATAGCTTACCTGTGTGTTTGGAGTGGGTTAGCTGTGTTAAGTTATATTATGTCCCTCATCTTTCAGAAAGTGCACCAAACACGCAGGACACAATATAACTCTATGGGAAAGCGCAATTAACAAACTCCAAACACACAGGTAAGCTGGGCTGCACCCGCACTGTAAGAAAAATGCACCACAGCATTGTGAAAGCAGTTTTTGTGGTGTCACACTACTGACTATGCTAGAGTGGCTGGATGGAATTACAAAATCTTTTGGTGGAAAAGACACTTGACATATGTATGTCACCTACACTATATAGCCAGAAGTATTGGGACACCCCTCCAAATCATTGGTCTTTAGCTATTGACAGCAGACAGTTAGCGAATTCTGCGCACTGCGCACCTCTGGATGCGCTGACCCTGCATTGGACTTGGTGATGTAAGGCTTGGATGCAGCTGCTCGGCCATGGAAGTGCATTCTATGAAGCTCTCTATGCACTGTTGTTGTGCTAATCTGAAGGCCACATGAAGATTGGAGGTCTTTAGCTATTGACTCTGCAGACAGTTGGTGACTTCTGCGCACTTCAGCATGTGATGACCCCGCTCTGTCATTTTCTGTGGCCTACCACTTGGTGGCTGAGTTGCTGTTGTTCCCAGTTGCTTTCACTAACAATTGACTGTAGAGTATTTAGTAGCAAGGAAATTTGACAGAAGGACTTATTATATAGGTGGCAACCTATAGTGTACCACGCTTGAAAGTATTGGGCCAGCCCTCCAAATCATTGGATTCAGCTGTTCCACTCACCTCCATGGCCACAGGTGTATAAAATCAAGCCCCTAGGCATGCAGACTGCTTCTACAAACATTTGTGAAAGAATGGGTCGTTCTCAGGAGCTCAGTGAATTCAAGCGTGGTACCGTGATAGGTTGTCACTTGTGCCATAAGTCATTCCATGAAATTTCAATGCTACTAAATATTCCATGGTCAACTGTTAGTGGTATTATAATAAAGTGGAATCAACTGGGAACAGCAGCAACTCAGCCACCAAGTGGTAGGCCACAGAAAATGACAGAGCGGGGTCAGCACATGCTGAATTGCGCAGAAGTCACCAACTGTCTGCAGAGTCAATAGCTAAAGACCTCCAATCTTCATGTGGCCTTCAGATTAGCACAACAACAGTGCGTAGACAGCTTCATAGAATGCGCTTCCATGGCCGAGCAGCTGCATCCAAGCCTAACATCACCAAGTGCAATGCAAAGCGTCGGATGTAGTGGTGTAAAGCATGCTGCCACCGGACTCTAGAGCAGTGGAGACGTGTTCTCTGGAGTGACCAATCACGCTTCTCTGTCTGGCATTCCAATGGGCGTGTCTAGGTTTGACGGCTGCCAGGAGAACGGTACTTGCCTGACTGCATTGTGCCGAGTGTAGAGTTTGGTGGAGGGGGGATTATGGTGTTGGGTTGTTTTTCGGGGCTTGCCCTCACAAATGTGATTCTGGAAGAATGGTCAAACATTCCCATAGACACACTCTTAAAGTGGTAAAACCATATGGTTGAGTTGTAGTAATACCGCCCCCTAGCCGCTTCCCCTTCAGCTGCAAAGCCAGTGGATGGGTGTGTACATGTTGCACAGCTGTGATACTTAGCATTGCGGCATGTCAAAAATGATCACTGCTGTCATGCTCAGAGGGCAGTAGCGCCTGGTGAATGCATCCCATTCAACAAATGGGGTACCCCGCAAACATGTGCAATGCATGTGATTGTGGTGTGCTAGTGTGAGGTTCCAGGGGTTAAAGCAGGTGGTGAGAAGGTGATACAACACCTGTCAAATACTTACTGAAGTGTGATCCAGATGAGGATCTCTCTTTGGAGATCAACAAATGTGTAAACCAGCTCTAACAGTTACTGTTTTGTGATAACACAGGGAGAGTGGTGTTCCAGTGTTGGCTCTGCAGGATCAGAAACATATTGCTCTTGAAGTTACAGTAACAAACAAGCCATCAAATCCTAACAATCCCACAGCAGATGGAGATGATGCCCATGAAGCCAGGCTTATCGCAGATTTGCCAAACACTCTGTCTTTCACTTCAGTCAGTTTCCCCGCAAACCAACAGGTAAGTAACAAACATGGATGGAAACTTATTTAAAGGTGATCTCCAGACATGACCCAAATGTAGCCCCAAATCTTCACCTTCAAAGAATGTCTCAGTATTATTGTTTTTTCTTTTACTTTATTCCTATAGTGAGAAACAATTGTATTACTCCCTACGATGTCATCCTCAAGCTTGTAAAACTTTTGCAGTGACAGCTGCTGGGAGTAGGAATGCTTTAGATCAGTTTGCATAGATATAAACAAACCCCCAGAACTACATCTTCCAGTAGCCTTTGAAGACAGGCTGAAAAAAAAATGCATTTGGAGAGGGGCTAGATGGGGTGTCAAACTAGCGGCCCTCCAGCTGTTGCGAAACTACAACTCCCATCATGCTTCTGCCTTTGGGAGTCATGCTTGTAACTGTCAATCTTTTAATGCCTCATGGGACTTGTAGTTTGGCAACAGCTGTAGGGCCGCCAGTTTGACACTTGTGGGAGAGACGTTCTGTCTGCTAAGGGCAGAAAGAGCTTGGGATTTCAGCGCAGCACGGGCAACGTTGTCAGCAAACAACAGAAAATTAAGAGTTCACTGCTTTTGTTTTCCGTTTTTCTTTACTTGCAGCATTTTTAAAGGAATAAAACTTGGTGGGAAATTACATATATTGAATGTTTTTTTTGGGGGGGTTTTTTTTTTGCCCATACATACATATACTTGAAGTGTGACCATAACCAGTTTTACATGAGAACTTTCATGGTTGTGAAATCCTCCCGTGTCTGATGGGATCAGAGTTTTTCCCATGAACTTCCCAGAGTTAACTGCAGTTGTAAGCTCTTTTGGGAATTTGCGTGCTGTGAGATTCAACTGAGAAATCAACATGAAAAGCTCTCCTGTGACTTTGTCCTTTTTCTGCTCTGTGGTCAAACATCTTTAAAATTATTCTTTATGTGTATCACAATACAGGAAAAACAAGTTCTGTGCGTACCGAGTGTAAATGGATCAAAAGTGGAGTGTGACCTTGCAAACCCCTTTAAAAGAAACGCCAATGTATGTGATCACTTTTGTTTTCTATACTTTTGTTTTCTATACTATGTTCATCTCATGCACTTGTATTGTTATTTCAGTTATAGTTGTTGTAATATTGCGCTTATTATTTTTACTACTATTTATATACTAATATTTACTAATATTTATAAATGTGAATACTTTATGTATATAGCAATACCTATTATTTACTATCATTAAATAAATGTAATTAATTTATACATTTTATGTGAATACTTTAGTATATAATAATTATTATTTACTATCATTTATAAATGTGAATACTTTATGTATATAGCAATAATTATTATTTACTATCATTTATAAATGTGAATACTTTATTTATGTACATAGCAATGAAACAATGTACATAGCAATAACAATTCTTAGATGTTTACAAGTTTAAAGCGGTGTTAAACCCAAAAGCAAACTTTTATTATATTGCAACTCATCAATTCTTAGATGTGATGGCTACATTAGTTTTCTTTTTGAAGCTTTCTTGTATTTTCACTTGGTTATCTAGCCAGTAAGCCTGTTGTTTATCAAAAGATCAAGCTGTCCTGCAGCTGTAGCAGTTAGAGGACTGAGGCAAACCACTTGCTACTGACAGGGGTGCTTACAGTGGTCAGCTTTTATTATTTTATGTAAAAGCTTTATCCCAAAAGAAAAAACGGTTTGCTTTAAATGCTTAAAAACTGTTAGCGGGAGTTTGGCTTCAGTATGTTAGTGTATCTAAATCTGCTAGTGCATTTAATACTCCCCCCCCCCCCCCCCCGACTGACAATGCTGCTCCCCAAAAGTGTTTCTGTACTGCATCCAGACTGGGGTAGCTCTAATACAGGTGGTGTGTTACTGGCCAGATCACCAGGTGAAAACAGAAGGAGAAAAGACTTTGAAAAAAATGTTTACTTTTGCCCTTTAAAGCTGAACTCAGGGAACAAAACTTTTATTAAAATATATTCCTCAATAGCCACAAAGGATATAAATCTACTTTGTAGAGTTCTATACTCTCTGAGCAAGTGACCCAGGACAGTTAAACAAATGAAAAAATTCACATGAACGACAAATCAAGAAAGTCAGGCAAGTAGTGTTTTCAGAATGGGAGGTTAGCAATGGCAGCCTCCATGTTTCTCTTAAAGTGGTACTATACTCACCTCCCATCCAGCTATATGATGTCCATGAGCTCCCTCATTGATGACATCTTCGCTAAAGCCATCTCCTTTTTTTTTTCTTAGGGAATAGTTAAGTTACTCGGTCTGCATACCTGCTTTGGTCATTACTAGGAGAACCCACTCTTTCCTTTGTATTTTTTTAAATTTTACATCATGGAGAAAGAAGCAGGAAGAGCTGGGACACACAATGTTAGGCAGGATTACTCAAGGATTCAGGTTATCAGGAACAGAGACAAGAGAGATCTCATTGTTGGAGCATTCAAGTGATATAGAAAACAAGCGGCTGCCTCGTCCCACCAGGCTAACTAAAATATCAGTTTTAAGTGGAATAGAGATGAACTTACCCTTTAAAGTGGTTGTAAACTCCTAAATAAACTCCATGAAGTGACCGTTCAGAGACTATACAGAGAGATGAAACAATCCTACATAGGTTGTACCTGTCTATCTGCAGTCGTCTCTTCTCCAACATACATTTAAAGTGCAGAATTTACACCTGCTTCCAGCAGCAGGGGGGGTGGGGATCTGATGTCAAACGCTGCACAACTCAGAGAGGAGAACTCAGTGTAATCTGAGACCAGAGTGGAGGTAAGGGACTCCTCCCTACACAATGTCATAGGAAAACATGCTGTCAGTCACAGGCTGTGTGGTGGAGCTCCCCTCCCCCATCCCCCTTGGAGTCAGCACAGCTTGTCAGAAATGAATGCAGACAGAAATCCTGCTCAGTTCTCTGGACTGATCAAGTGCACAATTTGGAGGGATATGCATTGTTTGTTTTTCATGTCAGAGGTTTACAACATCTTAAAGAGGGAAAAAGATTGTAGAATAATATTAAAAAAAAAATTTTCATAGTGAACTATTTCTGCATAAACACCAAATGCTAATTAAAAATACTTCTCTGTTTTCTTCCAGGTAACATTTTATCTTGTTATGGGTACAAATGATATTACAGTTGACACTACAGAACTGCAGATTCCACTCACTTTAGAAACGTATGTGTTTTTCTTTACTGATATACTAAAGGCTTTGTTCACACAGGTGGCCAGGAAGGGAAGTGGGGGTGGTTTAAAAACAGGAGGCTGAGCCGTGGTTTCACCCACCCCAACTGCCCTCCTAAAAGATAACATGCAGTTTCTTGGAGTCTTACACGTGCGGCCACTGCAAATAACGAAGCCCCATGTCGTATTCGGCAAGATGTACTGCTGTCAAGCGCAACCCAGTCAAGTGAATGGGGCTACGCCACAACTGTGAGACAAACTTTTGGCTTGCAGTTCCAAAGTGGTATTTACATAGAAAATTCCTGTTCAGCCTTAAAAAAAAAATGGAATTAGGAGGCGGCAGTATTGCCTCTTGAATGCCTGGCAGCCACCCACTGAAAAATCTGCAGTGGGTGGTAGAGATTGCCACAGGGGTAAATGAGCCCTAAATTATTCATTTATTCTGAGTATTTTATATCATTGTTGCATGGCAATCATGCAGATAATAAAAAATTGTAAAAAAAAAAAGCAGATAGTAAAAAATGAACATTGTAACAAATTGAGATTGTATGGTTTATGATGTTTCTCCTAACCAGAACTTTGTGATTATATCCTACTAAGGACAATTATGTCAATGGCAGCATCACTTGCCCATCAGTCAGCCACTCTTGAAGAGAAATATTTAGATCTGACAAGTTTATAAGATTTTTCTGGCTGCTGTTGCTCCCATTTAATTTGAGCAGCACACAGGAGTACTCCATGGCTTTGCCTTTTTCTTCTCTCTATAGGCACAAATGTGCATGCGCAGCCATGCTGTGTGTACCTGTTTATGCTGGCACAGTTTGCATGGGGGTGATCAGATTGTGCCTGCAGGATGGAGCATCCTTCAATATCTATGGGTACCTTAGAGGCCAACTACAGCACAAGTGTAATTTTAGATTTTTTTTAATGTTTGTGTCTTCATTTGGGAGAATTCGCTTCACTTCCTCCAGCACAGGAAGCAAGGGGAAAATAAATCAAATGGAGGCAACAACAGCCATGAAACTAATATTCTAGAATAGTGGAGAAGGGGTAAGGCAGGTTGCTGGTTGTGTCCCTGTTGTAGATATTTGTCCCCACTTTCTGTGTGGTCAGTGGGATGGGAAATTAGGGAAAATCTAAGTGGGAACACAGACAGTAAAAAAATACAGTATATCAGAGTGAAAACCTTCCCCACTCTGTCCAATGCTAATAAAAGAAACAGTAATGTTACATAGGTTGAAAAAATACAAAATTCCAGCTAGTCCAAATAATGGAAAAAAAAATAGAAAAACCTTCCACATACACTCACTGGCCACTTTTTAAGGAACACCTTGCTAGTACTGTGTTGGACCCCCTTTTGCCTTCAGAACTGTCTTAATTCTTCGTGGCATAGATTCAACGAGGTGTTGGAAACATTCCTCAGAGATTTTGTCTCATATTAATATGAGTTACTGTTGCCTTTCTATCATCTCAAACCAGTCTGCCCATTCTCCTCTGACCTCAACAAAGCATTTTGCGTCCACAAAAATGCCACTCACTGGATATTTTCTCTTTTTTGGACCATTCTCTGTAAACCCTGGAGATGGTTGTGTGTGAAAATCCCAGTAGATCAGCAGTTTTTTGAAATACTCAGACCAGACCGTCTGGCACCAACAGCCATGCCATGTTCAAACTCACTTATATCCTCTTTGTTCCCCATTGTGATACTTGGCTTGAACTTCAGAAAGTCCTCTTCACCACATCTAGATGCTGAAATGCATTGAGTTGCTATCATGTAAATGGCGGATTAGCAATTTGTGTTACCAAGCAATTGAACAGGTGTACCTAATAAAAGACCGATGAGTGTACACAATCCTATACCCACCAATAAACACCAATAAAGCATGATTCAATTTGCTTCAGCGAGGAAATAAAAATGTCTTCCTCACACCCCAGGAGGAAATGGGATATGCCCTGGATCCACTAACCCTGTGTTATAAATGTTAGTATCCAGTTATATTTTGTGCATTTAGGAATGCATCCAACTCTTTTTTAAACCACCTCCCGTCCGGCCGTTGTATGTAAACGGGCTGGACGGTGGCAGTGCAGGGTCGGGTGGCTGTTTATAAACGGCTTCCCCGCCCCCTGCTTGTGCACGCTCCCTGAGAGTGCAAAGCACCACGATCCGGTGCCCGCTGTGGTCCCGATCATGTGATCACTGTTTGGCCAATCAGTGATCACATGCAGAATAGTAAGCAAGATGTCACTTGTGACATCATTGCTTACTACGTGTGAAATCTGTGAATGATCACAGAGGTCACATGGTACAAGGCTATTCACAACAGCCTTGTACCATGTGACAAGCTGTGGCAAATCACAGCTCACACAGTAGTTCTCAATGGCTGCAAGAATGCAGCCAGAGAGGAGAAATGAGTGCTTTTACAGCCTTTATGGGTGTAAAAGCAATCAGTGTAAAAAAAAAAAAAAAAAAATCTTCACCCCCCACAAGTAGTACAGTGTCACCATGGCGACACTGTTCTGCTAGGGTTACAGTATGTAAAAATAAAAATAAATAATAATATAAAAAAATAAAATAAAAAATGTAAAAAAAAAAATTTTTTCAATTATAATTTTTGGGTTATAAACTAATTTGGGTTTTTTTTTTTTACTAAAAAGATAATTAAATACATTTTGGCCAAGATTTATGATGAAATATTATTTATTTGCAAAATTGTATAAGAAAAACACTTTTTTTTTCCAAAATGTTTGGACATTTTTATTTACATAGCAAAAAAAATTAAAATCCCAGTGGTGAATAAATACCACCAAAATAAAGCTTTATCTGTCTCAAAAAAATGCTAAAAAAATTCATATGGGTACAGTGTTGCATGAGCACGCAATTGTCATTCAAAATGTAATAGCACTGAAAGCTAAACGTTGGCCTGGGACAGGAAGGGGGTAAAAGTGTCCGGACTTGAAGTGGTTAAAGCAATCTGCTGAGCTGGCCAGAACCAGCTCTTGGGGGAGTTTGATAGAAAAAAACTAAGCTCCTTCTCTTACTATGCAAGGATGATAAATTACCTTTGCAAAAATATATATCCGCTAAAAAATATGAATTTCTTATCATCTGTGTGGTGTACCAACATAAAAGAAAAAAATGTTAGCTGCCCCTTGAAGTGCAAAATCACTTGTGACCAAAATGTTATAGTAAGGAATGGCTCTTCACATGTATGCTATACAAACCATGTTCTAACTAATATACTGTAATATAAACATATACATAAAGTGATATGGAAGTCCAAAAACAAAAGCCCCACACCAAATTGTGGCAGAGTGTTACGTCCAGCTACATCCGGGTCCGGTGACGTCACATCCGCTTCTGGTTAATGGAACGCACGCCTATTCCATTGCATGAGCGGTGCTAGCATTTTAAGCTGAGTGTATTAGTACCGAGGATTGGGCACCAACTAATGTGAGTGTACATTTGTTGGTTTTATCTATTTTTATAATAAACATACTATACTATGAGAAATTTCTCCTTCTGATTTATGATAAACTTGGATTATGGAGTAAAATTGTGAGACTATTGAGAGGATATCCACTGATGGTCCAAGTCCTTGGGACACTAATCACATTAGACCTTCTTTTTATTTAGAAGTGGATGGTTGGTGAGTGCAATGTATTGTCATATGGTGGTGGAGCACAGAGGATCTGCATGAAGCAACGTATTGGGCACTAGAAGATTATGCACTGTTTTCAATCCACAATTTGGTGTGGTACTTTTGATTTTGCTTGTTGATCCATATAACTTTTTTGTATATGTTCATGTTACAGTATATTAGTTGGAATATTGTTTGTATAGCATATATGTGAAGCACCATACCTCACTATAACATCTTGAGGGAGTTTATTCAACATTTTCACAGCTCTTATTGTAAAGAAGCCTTTCCATATTTGGAGGTTAAATCTCTTTTCCTCCAGATGTAAAAAGTGCCCCCTTGTCCTCAGTAACAACCTGAAATTGAGTAACTCCAAGTTCACTATATGGACCACTTATGTATTTATACATGGTGATCATACCCCCCCCCCCCCCCCCCCCCCCTTAATTGCCTCTTCTCAAGAGAAAATAAATGTGTAAAATACGTTCAGATTTGAGCTTTTACTTTATAGTGATTAGAATATTGACTGATCAGGTTGGAGTGGCCTATACATATAGCGCCCTTGTTGATACTCTGGATCATTTGAAGAGCAATAGAAGAGTTTGTACAAATACTACAGGCATGGACAGATGTGGTCATCTTTAAAGTACAACTAAAAGCAAAACTCTTGGAGTGGAGAGGAATTAGAACATCTTTTTAGGTTTTTGTTGCTGTTTGTGACCCCTTTGTGATTTCACCTTCTCTATTTGTCCTTTGTACTGTTATCACTGAATGTGAAAGAAAATCCCAAATTTTGGAATAATACCAGAACAGAAATAGAGGGCAAATCTTCCATCGGAGACACTAGTTTTGGTGGCAACATGGGGCGGACTTACCATTCGAGCATTTGGGCACTTCCCGAGGGCCCGGGAGGGACCCATGAAATGCCCCTGGTACCTTTTATAGGCTTTTTTTGAGTGTGGGCAAGGACACAGGGGCCCCACGATCCCCTATTGCCCGGGGGCCCCATGAGTTGTCAGTCTGCCACTTCTGGCCTCACTTCGGTGGGCCATTATTTCACTTCCTGTTTTGGTTATTGGACAGGAAGTGCAGGGAACTCTCCCGCATGGGACAGCTGGCAACAAAAAAATATGTTTTGCATTTAGTTCTACGTTAATACTAAGATGTAATACTTAAAAATAAGTATTTAGCAATTCCTTACATATTTGAGAACTATTTCTGTTTGCTTTTGCAGGACAAGCTCTCAGTCTGACCTAGGCCCTGTAGTTGCTAAAGCCCGGGTAGTTGTTGAGCTCCTGCTGTCAGTATCAGGGTAAGTTATATAACAAATAAAGTTCAGCAAAACTTTGTTCTTTCTCTTTCTAATGCAAACAAATGTAAATTTATGTCCCAAAGACAGTGTATCTTTCTTCAAAACAAATCAAGCAACTTTCCGGTTAAATCTAACCAAATATCTTATTTGCTGTAATTGTTTTTCTTCTTTCTTAAGGGTTGCCGATCCCTCCCAGGTGTACTTTGGAGGAAACGTGCTTGGGGAAAGTGCCATGAAGACAGAAGATGATATTGGAAGCTTGGTGAACTTTGATTTCAGAGTGAGTATTGTGATTTGTTGATGTGAACGAATGCCTTGTTTTATTTATTATTCTGGAGCGCCCTCTACTGATCAAAACTTGTAATGGTCATTTCTTCAATTCACTGTGCCTTTACTTGCACAGGGCAGATAGGGACACTCTTAGGTAGGGGTCTCCAAACTATGGCCCTTCAGCTGTTGAAGTACTACAAGTCCCATCATGCCTCTGCCTGTGGGAGTCTTGCCTGTGGCTATCAGAGTCTTGAAAGGCCTCGTGGGCAGTTCCTCAACGCCTGGAGGGCCATAGTTTGGAGACCTCTGCTCTAAGGGAACCTGCCATGAAAGAGATATTACAACTGCCATTACTGACATACTTCTAAAATGCTAGTTGCCTGGCAGTCTGTGATTTGAATCCTTTCTAATAAAGAATGGAGGAAGTGAAACCAGAGTGCCTGATTAGAGTACATGTTTGGGTCAGTTATTTAGAAATATTTAAAGCCAAGACGTTATCATGTCAGGTAGGCAACTAGTCTTTTTACAAGATTGGAAATAACACATTTTTCTTATGAAAACATTTTGTTAAGGAAATACTACACCTGAGGTTTACACAAACAGACTTCTTCAAAAGGAGAAAGAATTTCTTTTTAGATTGTAAGCTCCCATGAACATTACCCTCCTACCCCTCTGTCTTACATTGTATGGTAACTGTACTGTCTCTCTTTATTTTGTAAAGATCTGCACAAACTGTGGGCACTATATAATCCTGTAGGGTAATAATAATTATTTCAGTTTTACATGCAAGTGAATGTGTCTACCGTGGATCCGTTAACAACTTGCCCTCCAGAGGATTTACCCCCCTTCCTGACCAGGCCAATTTTTGCTATACGGTGCTGCGTTACTTTAGCTGACAATTGAATTGACACTAACATTTATGTCTTTTTTTCCCACAAATAGAGCTTTCTTTTGGTGGTATTTGATCACCTCTGCATTTTTTATTTTTTGCGCTATAAACAAAAAAAGACCGACAATTTAGAAAAAAAACTATATTGTTGACTTTTTGCTATAAAACTTATCCAGTAAAAAAAATGTTAAAAATCAGATTTCTTCAGAAATTTTGGACAAAATGTATTCTGCTACATGTTTTTGCTAAAAAAAAAAAATATGTGTAAATTAATTGATTTAAGTGAAAGGTTACAGCATCTACAAATGGTGGTATATATATACTGGAATTTTTTTTTTAATACTAGTAATGGCGGTGATCAGCGACTTATAGCAGGACTGCGGTGGGCATTCTGACACTGGGTGGGAACTGACTAACTGCCACTGGCATCCCAATGACACTAATGCAGTGATCAGTGCTAATAAAAAGCACTGACACTGTACTAATGACACTGGACAGGAAGGGGTTAACATCTGGGGTGATGAAAGGGATAACTGTGTGCTGTGTTCTGTTTTACATGATGTGCTGTTTGTGTTTTACAATGGAGACATGCTGCTTTGTATTTTTCTCTGCTGTGCAGAGAAATACAAACAGCATGTCCTTGCTGGCAGGAGAGAGACCTGTGTTTACACACAGGTCTCTCCCCTGTCAACTCTCCCCGATGATCGCCGGGTGCCGGCGGGGAGTCTCCGTTCGGGACCTGGTGATTGACATCCCTAGCCACCAATGGCGGCGTTGGTACATGATTTTGCACAGCCCTGCTGCCCTGTAGCAGTAGTTCTACTATAGGGTGCCGGGAAAGCGGATAAGCAATCACATAGCCTTGCTGAAACATGCAATTGTTTTAACTAGTTATAGACTTTGGACATGCTACACATGCCCCCCCAAAAAATCATCATAGTACACAGGACGTGTAGCACAGGCAGGCCTTCTGCCCTGCTGCCCTTCCCCATCCCTACCTCCCAGCAAATCTTGGGTCTGATTAAGCAAAGCCAGTATTGCTGTGTACACTGAGCAGCTCTGGCAGCTGCAGATGTCATAAAAAGCAGTCTGATTCTGCTACACTGTTCAAAAGATTGTTACTTTTGTATTTCTTCTGTTCATTCATCTGCAGATCAAGGAAAGGAACTTCAATCTGCAGACCATGCCAGTTAAGGCATCCTGTTTTTTTTAATCAAGTATTCTCTAGTTTATCCCCTTATTAACCCTTAGTTTACTCTAATCAGCCCTAATTAACATTGTGGTGAATTGGCCCTAAGGGCATGTGCAAGTTACCATACAATGTAAGACAGAGGGGTAGAAGGGTAATGTTCATGGGAGCTTACAATCTAAAAAGAAATTCTTTCTCCTTTTGAAGAGGTCTGTTTGTGTAAACCTCAGGTGTAGTATTTCCTTAACAAAGTGTTTTCATAAGAAAAATGTGTTATTTTCAATCTTGTAAAAAGACTAGTTGCCTACCTGACATGATAACCTCTTGGCTTTAAATATTTCTAAATAACTGACCCAAACATGTACTCTAATCAGGCACTGTGGTTTTACTTCCTCCATTCTTTATTAGAAAGGATTCAAATCACAGACTGCCAGGCAACTAGCATTTTAGAAGTATGTCAGTAATGGCAGTTGTAATATCTCTTTCATGGCAGGTTCCCTTAGAGCAGAGGTCACTGCAGTGTCATGATATTATGTTTTATACTAGGTGTTTGTGGGTGGGGGTTCTGCATTCACAGGGATGGACACTCACAGTACAACTCTCACATTTTCTTATTTTTTTCATTTGCAGATTACTAATTTCGGACGGCCCCTGAAAGCTCTGGGTGCAGCATTCTTAGACATTCAGTGGCCAAAAGAGATCACCAATGGAAAATGGCTGCTTTACATTGTAAGAATAGACTCCCAAGGCCTGGAGCCGATGTCTTGTCACCCTAAGGAGGAGATTAACAAACTGAAATTGCTGGTAGGTGGCTCCCGACTTTGTGAGACATTAAAGAGTCTGTACACTGTAAAGGCTATGTATAAAACCTGTGCTGTGCAAAAGTGTCAATCATTCACACAGGTGCAATGAACCTTCACGGACGATTGCTTAAAGTGGAATTCCGGGATGTAACTAATCTTAAAACTGCTCCCATCCCCTTCTATCACCTATACTTACTAACATGTGGAAGAGATGTATACTTCGCTATTATCAGGCCTCTGGGGTCCATTCACATGATCTCCCCTGTGTCAACCAGCGCCAGCTATAGGGGAGAGGAGAAAGTGCTCCAACAACATCTGGAATGCCTGAGCGGTGACGTCACTCTTAGGCTTACTATGGGCCATCCGTCACCAGCGTACCCTCCTCTTCTCTGAAGACTCTGCTGGCTGACAAAGGGGAGCCGGATCTAAGGTGATTGAAAATAGCTAAGTATCTGCATCTTTCTTCCACAGGGTAGTTAATATTGGTGTTAGGAGGAGGGGGGAGCAGTTAGTTGCATTGTGGAATTCTACTTTAACTGTTAGGTTCCTGAGCACCATCAGTATTTTTTGTGAAATAGTTCAATCCCAGGAGCTAAATGTGTTAGGCAAAGATTTATTTGACACATTCACACAGGAATTTTTTTTATGCATAGACCCCTAAGCAGGGCCGTGGATAAGTGGGTACCACCAGTCCTCCTGTGCGGGGCCCAGGCCAGCAGGGGGGCCCAGGCAGCTGGGTGAATCAGATGTGGGCAGGGAGAGTGATCAGAATAGCAGGGAGGGGGGCAGTTACTGGAGCCAATCCCATGTATAGCTCTCTCTGCAGCAGCTGAAAGCTGGCTTCTTTTCCTTTTCACCCCTGCTGGCTTTCAGCTGCTGCAGAGAGAGCCATACAGGGGATCGGTTCCAGTAATTACCCCCCTTGCCGCACCCATCACCCCACCTTCACAGCGCTGCCAGCCTCCTCTTCTTCCTACTGGCATCTGCAAGCACCTGATAGGATCCTTTAGGATAGAGAGTGGGGGAAGGGTCCGGTAAATATGTCACCTTTACCAGCCCCTTCCTTTCTTACATGAACACAATGAGTAATCGGTACTTATCACTCACGGTGTTCATTTATAACTGAAGCACAGTAAACTATGTCCTGTCAGGTTGGCTGTATGGGGCCCTGTGGTTTCTAACTGCAACCTTGCCCCTAAGTTTGTGATAATAGCAAGGGTAAGCCATGTCATAGAGGTTTATGCTCTGTTTCATTTCTGACAGGAATCTGGAAAAGTTCGAAGTAGGCGGGAGATCGGAGAAAGGCAGCCTGTAGCGGATAAGAAACCATTTTCCTTGTTCTCTGACAGGAAATACATGACACTGGTAAGGCATCCTAGTCTATGCTTATTAAAGTGCATTTGTCTGGACTAGCAACATGCGGCAGGTCCCTGTATGTCTCACCACCTTCGGGGGCTGTTACTTGGGACCTGTGGAGTGTGGTATGATTTATTGTGTTTTTTTGTTTTTAGAATTGTTGATGTCAAATAAAGAAGTGTTTGTGCGCCATTGACCACTAGCTCTTCTTGAATTATTGCTATTGCATTACATATATATATATATATATATATATATATATATATATATATATATATATATATATATATATATACAAATCCCTTAAATCCCTTATTCTGGTTGAGTCCATAACTAGTCATATTTTTTCGTGCAGTTTCTCCATAGTTTGTTGTCTAGGGACTCCCAGTTTACTTTTTAATAGTTACACATTTAGGTACCTTGAGGCTTTTTCTTGGAGGTCTTGCCAGGTTATAACCCTCCCTCGCTCTATCAAAAAATGTTTGCCTATACTTCTTTAACATAAATAGAACCATTTCTAACCTTGCTGATGATTAACAATATCGCCTTTTCTGTTTTTTTCTGATTGCAGGACTGTAATAACAATGCAAAATGTGTTAAAATTAGATGTCCCCTTGCTGGTCTGGACATCAATGCATTCATTAAAGTTCGGGCAAGACTATGGAATGGCACCTTCCTAGAGGTAACACTGCCATCCTGTTGTACATTATTACCACTTTTGAATAGAGTAAGTGGAGTTTACTGATCTTTCTATTTCTGCTACTAGGAATATTCAAAGATGAATTATCTGGATATTCTAGTGAAAGCCTCCATCAGTATTGATACACGAGCGGAGAATATCAAATTGCCAAATGAGGGTTATCAGGTAAAAGACGTTATGCCTAGTTCATTTACAATTTTATTGATATGTTTTAATAGGAAGTATATTGGTCATCAGAGAGGGCATATTGGAAAATTATAATTGTGAAATTCACCTGGCAGTAATTTTGGTGGGTGGGTGTTTAGGTGGGTGCCTGTTTAGGTGAGTGACATACTAAATCCGGGTCTCTCAACCAGGGTTCCATGGAACCCTAAGGTTTTTCCAGAGGTTACCCGGGGTTCCTTGAGCAATTAGCAATTTCTGCCTCTCAGATAAGTTCCCGCTGACACCAGTGATCTTTATAGCTATCTAAGGGGTTAATTCTTCCCAATGACCACAAGTGTAAGTAGCACACTTCCTTAATGTAATTTTTAGCAGGGGTTCCCTTAGACTGGAAAGTTATTTCAAGGGTTCCTCTATGTTGAAAAAGTTGAGAAAGGCTGCATTAGATAGTGAAGTAAGGTGAAAAGGAAGGGAATGTGTGCACTGCACTTTATTAAGATGAGCAGTGCCTGAGTCCAAAGAAATGTATTTTTAAATAGTTTGAATGCTTACTGAAATTCCAAGAAAGCCAGCTCTTTTCAGGGATCTGCATTCCCTTCATCAGGGCTAATAAAAAAAGATTTAATGCTATTATTAAACTGTGACTATATAATTCTGTAAAAACTATATAAAACATGTAAATTATATATTCATAAAATATGTATATGACAACACATGTTTATGTTGTTTCTCTCAGTAAGGGGCAGGGTTTCAGGGTTCATTCACTGCATTGTGTTATAATGCATTAAGGTGTGCTGCATTAAGACACCTGCCCATGTTGAATTGACTGGCCACACCCTAACACACCAAACACAAAAAAAAAAAAATGGAAGTTACCCTTTCTTCTAATGCAACACGCCAAAATGTGGTGCGCTGCTGTACTAGCATTGGGGGGTCTTTAAAATGATTGGCACTGTACAGTGGTTCACATTTTGCCATATGTTGCTGTGACGTGCTACAATTACAAATTGTTTCTACAATGTGTAAATGTGGATGGGCCCTTAAGGTGCGTATGTGAGACAGTAAAGTTTCTTTTCAGGCTATTTATTTCTGTGAGTTTCATTGTGCCTGTCAGAGTTTTGTCCTAAAATCTATAAAGATTTATTTCTAATAAAGTCTTTGTAGTAAACTAAAGCAAACAATGTTGTTCTCCCTGTGCAGATGCGTGTTACAGTTTTCCCAGAGAAGAGGCAGGCACAATACACAGGAGTGCCATGGTGGATCATTCTGCTTGCCATACTCTCTGGAATATTATTGCTTGCACTAGTAGTGTTTATTTTATGGAAGGTGAGTATATAATAGTCAATATTCATATTCACTGCACACCCAAGGATTCCACCCCCAAACTGATATTTTAGTCATTTACCCAATTCCTGTTAGTCGTGGAGACTGCAGTGACAAAATTTCCACATAAAAGTATTATGTTTTATTTATCTATCCACAAGGGCATAACATAGGGGTCACCATGACTAGATTCCACACTCATTGTTTTGTTCTGGAGAATGGGGAGCATGAAACCTTTATGCTTTGCAACAGAAGACACTTGGGGATCTGGGAATTCTGTCAAAGCCACAGCAGGTAGAGGGAAATCTAAGATGAGGTTTTCCCTCACTTTGGGGAGATTTTTACTTCTTTCCTATTGCATCTCTGGGAAAAGAAGTAAGGGGAAAGATCCAGAATGACACACTGTAAGTGGGGTCTTAGACTGCAATGAAAAACACTTTTTTAGTGAGCAGAAAAAAAGTAAAACCTTTGCCAAGTTTATATTGCAGTTTGTCCTTGTAGTACCTGTTCCAGATACCCCCCAGCAGCACAGAAATCAGTTTGAGGATTATCAAAAGGCATTTTGCTTGCATTTTTGCACATCTATTAGTATGGTCATTCTGATCTACCTGACAAGCACACTTTGAGGTTGAAGATTTTAACAGAACTGCCACCTTAACACTGTTCATCACCACCAAGATATTAATCTTGTCTAAAATGATCTCGGCATTTATAACCAAATATACATTGATCAGCCATAGCATGATGACCACTGACAAGCAAAATTAATAACATTGATTATTTCATTACAATGGCACCTGAATGTCGGTTGAATGTATTAGGCAGCAAGTGAACATGTTGTCCCTGAAGTTGATGGGTTGAAAGCAGAAAGGATTTGAGCCGACTTTGACAAGGACCAAATTGTATTGACTAGACGTCTGGGTCAGAACATCAACAAAACTGCAGCTCTTGTGGGATGTTCCTAGTCTGCAGTGGTGAGGACGTACCAAATGTGGTCCAAGAAAGAAAACCAGCAAAACAGCTGAAATGTCATAGGGCAACCAAGGCTGATTGATACATTATTATTATTAACATTATACAGGATTTATATAGCGCCAATAGTTTGCGCAGCGCTTTACAATATAAAGAGAGACAGTGCAATCACAATACATTTCAGTACAGGAGGAATGTGAGGGCCCTGCTCGTGGAGCTTACAATCTAAAGGAAGGGGGAGGTGGTACAAAAGGTGATAGCCGTGGGGGATGATCTGTTGGAGGTGGCTCAAGTACAGTTCTTAAGTAGAGGTGTGGTAGGCTTCTCTGAATAAGTGAGTTTTCAAAGCTCACCTAAAGGCAGACAGGCTGGGGGCTGACCGGACATACTGGAGTAGAGAGTTCCTGGAGGTGAGCGTGGGAGGGAGGTGACGAGGGAGTTAGGGAGCAGGATATCTTGGGAGGAGCGGATTGGCCAATTTGGACGATATCTGTGGATGAGGTCGGTGATGTAGCTAGGGGCAGTGTTGTGGATGGCTTTGTATGCTGTGGTTAGTATTTTGAATTTTATACATTGGGTTAGTGGAAGCCAGTGAAGGGATTGGTCGAGAGGGGCTGAACAGTTGGTAAGGTGTATGAGTCTAGCAGCAGCATTCATAATAGACTGAAGGGAAGATAACCTGTGTAACGGTAGACCAGTGAGGAGGATGTTGCAGTAATCAGGGCAGGATATAGCTAAGGCATGGATCAGTTGTTTTTCGTTGTCTTAGGTCAGAAAGGGGCGGGTTTTGAAAATGTTGAGGCGGCAGGATTTACCCAGTGAGTGGATGTGGGGCTCAAAGGAGAAGTCAGAGTCTAGGATTATGCCTAGCACCCTGGCATGTGCAGAGGGACCAATGGTTGTGCTGTTGATCTCAATGGTAATGTCATGAGCGGGGGATCAGGGAGGAGGAAATATTACAAGCTCAGTTTTGGAAAGATTGAGTTTAAGGGAGTGGTGTGACATCTATACTGATATGTTGCTTAGCAGATTTGTGATACGTGAGAAGATTGCTGGGGTGAGCTGGGGAGTGGAGAGATAGATCTGGGTGTCAGCAGCATAGAGGTGGTATTGGAAGCTATGGGAGGTTATCAACTGGCCTAGGGAGGAGGTGTAGACAGAGAAAAGGAGGGGACCAAGGACAGAGTCTTGGGGTACCCCAACGGAAAGAGGAAGAGGAACGGAGGAGTTGTTGTGTGTGACCCTGAAAGTGCTCTGCAAAAGGTAAGAGAAGAGCCAGGAGAGAGCAGAGTCACGGAGGCCAATGCAGTGGAGTTTACTGAGGAGGAGCGGGTGGTCGACTGTGTCCAAGGCAGCAGAAAGGTCTAGGAGTATGAGTATGGAAGATTTGGCCATTGGTTTTAGCAGTTAGTAGGTCGTTAGTGAGTTTTAGTAGGGCAGTTTTAGTGGAATGTTGTGTGCGGAAGCCAGACTGTAGAGGATTGAGAAGGTTGTTGTTGGTGAGGTAGTAGTTCATACGGTTGTGAACAAGGCCCTCGAGAAGCTTGGAGACAAACAGGAGCCGGGAGATGGGTCTTAAGTTATTTAAACAGGTGGGGTCCAGTGAGAGTTTTTTAAGTATGAGGATAACTAGTGGGGAGGGATACATGTGGGGATGGGGGTGGGGGCAAGGAGGCTGGCCTGAGTAGTCCCATTCCATAGAAGAGCTATTGTAGCTCAAACTGCTGAAAAAGTTAATACTGGCTGTGTGTCGGGCTGCGTAGATGCAGACCAATCAGGGTGCCCATGTTGACTCGTGTCCACAGCTGAAAGCACCTATAATGGGCGTGTGAGCATCAGAACTGCACAATGGAGCAATGGAAGAAGGTGGGCTGGTCTGATGAATCCAATAATAGTTTGAGGAACACGAGTTTGAGGTGTTGACTTGGCCTCCAAATTCTCCAGATCTTAATCCAAACAAGTGTCTGTAGGGTTGTACTGAAAATAAATCTGAACCACAGGGGCCCCAACACACAAGTTAGGAGACTTAGGATCTGCTACTGATGGCTTAGTGCCAGATACCACAACATACCTTCAGTGGACGAGTTATGGTGGGTGGTTATAATGTTATGGCTGATCAGTCTATTTTACAGTAACATTCTGTCCCTCTTTTACCATCATTATGTAGTTAGTAGATGCTGAGCAAGCTGAAAGTGAAAGAGTTATTGCAATGGTGTAGTGTATTACCTGCTTGTGGTCCCATTACTTATCATTTGCAGATTGCCATATTTGGGTCATCCATTTTAACTCATTTTGTAAATGTAACTACAAAGTTCATGTGTCATCTACACATAGCAAAAGTAGGCATCTTATAGCCATAGACATATTTTTACAACTCATGTTAAGCCACATAATTGTTTGGTCCCTGAAAAAGTCGCTTTTTTTGTGCTGTGTAGGTGACATAATTTTTTCTTGGCATATTGTGACAAATTATGTTTTTATTCTGTACAATTCCTTTGACCAATAATTGAAAAATCATACAATGCAATCTAATCACCTTGATTCTTTGTAGTGTGGCTTCTTCAAGAGAAGTAAGCAAGATCAGTATGATGCCACATATCACAAGGCTGAAATCCATACTCAGCCATCTGATAAAGAAAGGCTGACATCTGACGCATAGTATTGATCAGCGTTCTGTGATTTGGTAATTGATTGTTTCAATCATGGCTTATGGGTGTTGGTTTGGCTGCAAGATCTTCAAATTTAACACAACAGTTGCTTGCTTTACGGGTGTCGTAAATTAATCAGCGGAATGCATATCTTTGTTGTTCTTTGTCTTTCTGAGAGAATTCGGGAACATGCGTAGATTTACACCCAGTTCACAGACTTCTACTCACGCATGTAAAATTACTAAACAATTCATACTTTCACTTCTTTCTTCTAAAATGTAATTTGATGGTGTGGACTAGGTGCTTCATCTGTCCAAGTAATCAGGTTACAAGCTAATATTTTTTCAGTGCAGAAGATATTCTTTTATTTTCGTGTACCTTTCATTGGAGTGATGTTATTAAGAATGTATAGTTTTAATTTCCAAATATTTTTATTTTTCCATTGAATTTGACTTGGTGATAGAATAGTGATCCAGTTTACATGCAACTAAAATGTGGACACAGATATATTTGCTTGATAGAATCTCTGTAGAAAAAGCCCAAAGATATATGTAGATCCTCGTCCATCCCTCCATCCATACTTATGGTTTATTAGATATCTCTACATCCATACACGAGTCCTTCTTCACCCCTCTACTTATACACATGGTTCTTCATTTATCCCTTCAGCTATACAAATGGACACTCCTCCATCCCTCCACCTATGCACATTGGCCCTTCTTAATCCCTCCACCCATACACATGGTCCTCCTTAACCCTTCAATCCATACACATCAGTCGTCAGATCTTTTTACCTATGTACGTGTGTCCTCCTTTATCCCTTCAGTTTTAAAAATGAGCCCTCTTACCTTAAAGAAAAAAAAAAAAAGAGCCCTTCTTCATCCCTCCACTTATACACATGGGTCCTCCAAAATCTCTTTACCTATACACAAGTCCTCCTTTATCTCCTCCTCTTGTATTTATGGGTTCTACTTCATCCCTCCACCTATACACATAGGTCCTCCTTCATCCCTTCACCCATGTACATGAGTTCTCCTTCATCACCTCACCCATTCACATAGGCCCTCCTTTAGCTCTCAATTTATACACTCAGGCCTTCCTTCATTTCTGTACTCATACTCATGGGTCCTTTGTCATCGACCTATCCATATGCATGGGTCCTCATTTATCCTTTCACCTCACCTATACACAAAAATCAGACGTCATCCTTCCATCCATTCACATAGGACTGCTTATATCAGTTCGACCATACATAGGTCTTCCTTCATGCCACTACTCAAACATTGGCCCTTCAGCTTTCCTGCACCCGAACACATTGGTCCTCTTTTCAGTGATTCATAGACCCTCAGTCCATAAGCATACATCGTTTTTAGTTTGTCTGTCTATATATATATATATATATATATATACATACACACACATATATATATATATTCCTAATTCCTCTCATGGATTCTCCTTACCAAGACACACAAGTCTCTCAGAATTCCTTCACCATTGCGCTTAGGTTTTCCTCAATTCAACCAGTACATATGTATTGTCCTCAGTCCCTCCATGCATATACAGATCTTTCTCAGTTTCTCTATAATACACAGGGATCTCCTTAGTTCCTATACCTGTAAACACACACTATGTAGGTGTTATACTAGGACGTCACAAAGGTGGGAGCCTATTTTAATGATCTAGTAAACCTTTGGGATTTCAGCAGGAATCCTCTTACAAAACACAATGATTTGGAAATGTATATAAAATATATTAGAAAACAATACATTTGTAACAGTGCCTGAACTGACTAATATAATAATGACTATATAGGATGCTAAGTCTCTTCAAATGACATCTTACTGACAGTCAAGGAAAACAATTGCACACTACTGGCAACTACTATGATCTGTTCTAAGGATCCTACAACTTTATTGTTTAGGCTTGCTTATCTTTACACAGCGCACAAATATATATCTGCTTGTCCTGGGTAATAATAACTCTTCTGCTTTATGGACCTGTTCTTTCTAAATATTCTCACTTGTTATCCTGCATAAGTGATATTATCCTGCATAAGTGATACCTCATTCCTTCTGCTGTCTACTACCTCTGGTAATTTGTTCTGTCTGTTTCTAATAAAAAAGAAAATGCAATTAACAATGCATAGGTAATGTTATTAGTTCATCTTTCTCCAGGTTTAGATCTTGTAAGGCAGGTCACTGGGATAACTTTTGAAGTTGCTTTCATTACTTATTACACAATTAAATTGGTATTAAATCCAAACACAAATTCTTATATGCTTAGCATATTGCAGCTGACCAACTAAATGTGGCGGCTGCTGCAGCAGTTTTATTTTTTTTCATTTTTTTCCTTTTTTTTCACCTGGTGATCCAGACAGTAACACCACATTTTTGTCTTACCTTCACTCTGGGTAGAGCAGCAACAGAGACACCTTTGAACAGCAATATTGTCAATAAGTAAAGCCAAGGTAGGGTAGAGGGTAGTGTAAAGGTCAGGACACGTATCAATCTAATTGTACAATCTTCTTCAACTCGCCTGCCTGAATGTACAGTATACAGGTTGCTTAGATATCAAATAGTTTTGGTAGATCTCAAGTTGATTGTATGAAAACTGTATTGTTTCATGTATGGTGAGCCTTTTGTACACTAGACTAGCAGGTTAAGCTCCAGCTAATACAGTTACATCAAGTTTTTTTCTTTTTGGGATAAAGGTTTTACATAAATACTGACCATTGCAGGCCACCCTGTCAGTGTTAAATGCTTTGTCTCAACCCTCTAACTGCCATTTTTGCTGAACAGCTTGGTCTTTTAAAAGAAGTTGAAAAATAACATATTTTTTGGCAAGATCACCAGGTAAAAAAAGCCAAAAATAAACTAAAAACAAATTCAGCCACCACATCTATGAATTGGTAATCTGCAATACAATGCATTTTTGTTTTTGGGGTCAATACTGCTTTGAGCACCCACTGGGTAAATGTCCACATGTATTGTTCCATGTAGGAGATGTAAATATAAGAAATTTTGAGGCTTGGCATACATTCCATTCTAATGTCATCTAGTCCTCTAGTAATAGACAAACTGACTACCAGCCAAATATGAACATTCCCCTGTGGGCACAGCTGATACTTCAACAAACCCGTGTGAACATAACAAAAGACTACAAGTAATGAATGTCATTTACAGAGTTTTATTACTGCCTGTCTTACAATATCACATTTGCTGGAAAGGTGATTTTACATAAATCATAAAGAGAACCTGTTTTGATGGTGCCGATACAAAAATGTGAATTTTAAATTATTATACTTGTGCAGGTATGCATACAGTGTGAGAGACTTATGCCTTCCTTTTAGCTTTACTTACGGTGCCTGAAGACAACTCGCCAGAGCTGCAAATTCCACTGTGGTATGACAGTTGTTGTCATGGCAGCTGCCTGTGTTACTGCACGCCCAGTACGTTATTTAATGCTGGCCAAACAATAGTAGAATCTTGTTCGAAACTTTTCATTTTAAGAATGTTTGTTCAATTTTCTAATCGTTAGTGGGGGTCAAAGTGACATTCGTTTTAGACCATAGTGATGGAAAAAGGAGCAGGATGGGAAATTTCTCTCAGATGATCCAACTTCAATCAGCGTATGCAGTTTTTTGTTCAGGAAAGTCTATTCATTCTGAAATGGAATGTAAAAGGAGAAGTATGGCCAAAGCTCTTTTGGCCCTACTTCTCCTGTGGGTCACAGGAGTGCATTTTGTCGGGCCTGTTGTCCGCTGACGTCAGTCAGAAGGTCCAAACTCTGGAGAGATCCGAACTTTAATGTTGGGATCCACCCAGATGCCTAGATTGGGAGCTGGCTCAGCCTCTCAGCACACCGCTGAGCCAGCCACTCCTACAGCCCACACAGTTCAACGCTTCAGTGAGTGCTGGAGGAACAGAGCAGAGAGCTGGTGACTGACAGTCACCACTCTCTGCTCAGTGAAGACTGAGAACTGAGTGGTCAGCGGTGTTTGATTGCTCAGTTCTTGGTTTTAGAAGCAGCAGTTTACAGCATTTGACAAGTCATCAAATTAATGTTTGTTTGAAAATCTACTAGTGTATGGCCAGCTTAATACTATAGAAAAACAGAGCTCCAGAGGTTTTTCCATTCCTCTTAAGCCTGGGTTCACATTTCTGTGGTGTGGCATATCACATGTAATCTGCACAGAAACGCATTCTGTGCAAATCACATGTGAATTCTGTGAGTTGCGATTTGAGCCATACATTTTGGTGCAGGACCCTTTTTTTTTGGTCCGCACCAGAATCGGATCACATGAGTATTCACAGCCATGCAATCCGATTATGCACATCGCATCGCGTTTTGCAAACTGATTTTGGGGTGTTGTTAACTTAACATACACACCTACAGCGGTTTGCATAAATGGGGTGCGATTGTGACTGCATCAGTGTGAACCGAGGTTAAACCAGAACTGAACCATTCTATCCAGCACAGCCATGGAAGCTGCCATCTTAGCCTCTGTTTGAGCTGCAGTTGCCATGGTGTTGCACATGTGATCAGATATTACACCAGCTATTTGATATATTGCCTGTACATGAGAGCTCAAGGAATTGTGACAATTATCATTCACGGCATACCTTGAATGTAACCATATTGGGAAACCATTAAATCAATTGGTTTAGTTCGCTTCGACTATGACACTTCTTTACACACTCAGGAGCTGGGAAACAGTGTGGGGGTTATTTTTATAAAACTGGAGAGTGCAAAATCTGGTGCAGCTCTACACAGAAACCAATCAGCTTCCAGGTTTTATTTCCAAAGCTTAATTGAACAAGCTGAAGTTAGAAGGTAATTGGCTACCATGCACAGCTGCACCAGATTCTGAGTGCTCCAACTTTAGTAAATCTCCGCCTATGTGATGTTAGTATGGGAATAGACAGATACCAAGGCAGTCAGACCCCTGGGGGTGTCTCAGCACTGAGTCATCCCCAGACAAAATAGATGGCGTTAAATAAGAGTTGGT